GTATGTGAATTTGCTAGAGTCTCCAGGATGCCATGATGTTGTGCAGTTCTATTAACTTAAAATCCAATTCCCTGGTGTACATTTCGCGTTTGATTGTTTTGTGACAGAACAGGCACACTGCCGTTACTTAAAGACTCAAAATGGTCTGAAAATGATAACAGATTATCGATTGAAATCCAACCTGAATCATAGTTTTATTATAGACCGGAGCGAGATTGCCAGACACATCCTTTTTAAAGTAAATCGTAACTTAGTAGAATTCCCTTGTTTAAAAGCCATGCGGACCTCGTAAGCAAATCGGATGTCGGAATGCGTTATCAAAACATTAGGAAATTTAACGTCATTTTTGATACAGCACAGTCTTCTTGGGCATAATGCACACTCGGAAGATCAAGGCTGGTCCGTTTTAACAGCAATTCGTTTAAAATTGGGGTTTCTCTCAACCTAATTGAAGCATTGTAAAATGACACTCGTACAATGTACCTTGCGAGGATAGCTATTAATTTAACCTCATTTGCATTAAATCACAGCCTATTGTCGGAAAACAATTATTAGAATAACTGCTTTGCCCACAGAAATCAAGTTAAGACTTTGTGATTTTCTCAAGACATTTTCATTACAGCTCTTTTCTTTAAGATTGCCTCTCTCAGACCCTTTCCTGTGCACGGGGGACCAATTACCAATGAAGTAAAAAATTAAAGGGGACTGATTGATGGGACTTGACGTATAGCTATCATTTTAGGAAATCTCACAAGACAAACTATTTAAGAATGTCATCTTATCCTTATGCAGCGACACAAGTGTATTACCGTTGATAAAGAAACGTGTAGATGACAAAATGAATTTTAAAAAAAGAAAGAAAGACAAAAAATGGCACAGACGGGATGGAGATTCTCTTCATCCTGAAATTCTATTAGGTAATCTTATCAATTCCTTTGCCTGTCTCCCACTCAGGGAGTAGAATTTGATTAAAGTGAACCATCGGCTGCGGAAATAACAAAATAAACTTTGTTAGAAGTGATCTGATCAGTGACATTTCAAGATTATCAAATGGTTTGCATCAGGGGAAGCAAGACGATTTCAACTTGTTTGGTGTGAAGGCCTAATTCTATCAGCACCATCGGATTGGTATGATTCAAAGTGAAGTTGACATTTTATAGAAAACCCTGGCAACTGATGTCCTCATGGGAAAAATCGACATTTTTACCAATGCGGCTAGCTGGATTTCATTTTCTTTTCTTTTAAGATTTAAAAATCCCTGTTACACAGGCCTTACGACCACTTAGCTAACACATTTTTGCTCACTCTCACCCCTTTCAAAGCTGTGACATTGGCAATATTTGATAGTCATCAAATTCATAGACCATTTCAAATTCATACACAATATTGCAGACTTTCTTTTTGTCACATGCATTTGTCACATGTAAGAGAGGGTCATTGACTGTTATCCAGTGGTAACCCAGGGAGGGTGTTCACTCTGTATTAATACTTTTATGGGTTACAAAGTGGCGGATGTAGAAGGGGGTCAGGCTGATCCCCCCTTCAATTTCCCCACGGCAAGGGGGGGGGGTTCACATCCGAGGACCCCCCTTCAAATAATGATGGATCCGCCCCTGGTTACATATCCACTATGAAACAGGAAATACTACGTACGTCACCGCCATGGTAGGCTACACGTATAAGTAACGCTAGAAAAATACTCGTGTATTTATATCAATAAGTTATGTCAAAAATGTTGGAAAATATTTGGTGAAAAATATCTTATATGGTGACGGCATACCACCGAGAGTGAAGGTGCCTAGAAAATTTAAAAATATATATCGTATTAATGGCAAAGGCGGTGAAATAAAGAAGATTTTTATTGCATTTTTCAATAATTTTGACCTATGATCAATGTCAATTCGGTCTTATTTGCTCATTCAAAACAATGTGTCCAGTTCATTCCGCTTGCCGTCTTGACAGTATTTTTATTGCCAACTTTTGCCAACATAAGCTGCCGTACGTAGTCTCGAATATCGGTGCTTTAAGAAAAATGCATATTAGAATGAAATGTTTTGATGCATCTAAGTAATAATGCGGTAATGATAAAAAAAACAATACCTGTTTTATCTTTAGGAAAAATTGCACCCTTTGCTTTAAACTAGAGTAACTTCCTTTTTTTTTTTTTTTTTTTGCAAAATTAGCTTGGTAGCAAACTGGTGAAATCTAAGGGCGGAAGATAATTAGGTTGTTATTGTCAGTTTTAACTATCTAGGCATCTCAATTTGAACGACAGTCTAAAATCTGCAGACAGGGCATCATTAAAAGCATCCCTAAGGAAAAATCACGAGGTGGACAGCCCACATTTTGTTTGTTTGGTTTCATGACAATTATACTAGTCGTCGTGCACAACACAAATAACACGGGTTGTTTGTTTTAATTGATTTTCTTAATAATTTACGGCACACTATGAAAACATTAGTGTTTGGCAAATACGGCAAACGAAGCGTATATGATGAATTGGCTTTGGGTTTAACCAACCAAATACGGAACAGTAACGTGAGCTGAAATACTGCTTAATCAGCAATTATCTCCTTTATGACACAAAGAACAAAAAGAATAAAAAGAGACAAAATAGAATTCACCGGTAATGTAATGGTGTGTGCTGACCACAGATGTATTGATCAGTGACTAAAGATTTCCAAATTGATCGATATAGATCATATCTTGTCAGCATTGTGTAACCTGTCAAACCTGTCCATCTTGTCTTATCGTTGTCTCACCTGTCATTTTTCCAGTCCACTCTGATCACAAAGCTGGGTCCAAGGAATAAAAAAACTCAATCCCATTTTACAGTTTTTAAGAGGAGAAAAGCCCCATAATGTTGGCCTACAGTTGCAAGTTTCATGTGCTCAGCACTGCAAAGTGGCACAACTTTTTCCAAGCTGACTTAACGGTAAAATTTCCTTACTACCCCTCTACCCCCTCTACTCCCCTACCCTTCCCCCAACCACACACACACACACACACACACACACACACACACTCACACTTGATACAATGGTTCTGCCACTCGGTATATACCCAAACACATTGAGATCAGTGGTACCTCAATTAAACATAGGGTATGGCTATTGAACCTTAATTATTAACAATATGCGCTGAAGCCCATACTGATGGAAGATTAAGGCGGAGGACCCTTTAAGAGACAACAGTATATCTGGGCGGCGGGCGGTGTGTGTAATGCGAAAATCACACATATCAGTCATCGAAATGTTGAAAATAATGACGCGTTAATCCTACGGTAGTTACTTATACTCTATCTGCTGAGAAAATCCTGATGATTGTGTGTGTTTTAAAAAGCTCAAACTACAGAAAGCACACCATACTTAGACACGTCTCAACTTATAAGAGAGAACGCCTGATATTAAATACCGTACAGTACACCTTAAAGCGTAAGCAATGCTAATGGAACTAATCCAAACCCAGTTAATGCGACAACTTCGTATTCTGCACAATAGGTGTTTACAAATGTACCTTTTCAGTCAAATTGAGGACATTTCCCTATGACTAACCCTCGTTAAATCTTGGTAATCTCTTTAAACTGAATCTTTGCTTTTCAATTGATTTACCGTTTTTGCCAAACACCTGCTCCAACCGCAATAATCATAGCTTTTCACCGCTAATGTCTGAAAGCACTTATTTCGTGAGAAGGACGGGGACAGTGTCTTCAGCAAGAGTTTACCAGATCAAAGCGTTAGGCTGGTAGTACTTTGCACAATTTATAGGACATATCACTCTCTTCGCAGTAAAAGCCTCCAGGAATTTGGGTGATGATGCTTTGATTAAACCCAAAATCGAATAAAAACATATATACATATCAATTATACAGAAATTCCGCGAAATGTACGCAAACTGATAAACCCACTAGACAATTATTAATCTGAACTTCTTTTAATATGAATATTTGTGTGAAGAGAAGCATTCTTTGATTTTTTAGAAATTATTATATTTGAGTTTGAAAGCGATTAAAATTACCCTGCACATTAAGCTAATAGTGATTAACGTTAAATGTAAGATTGTGTTTGATCACAACAAGTGGATTAGGCGTGTCTTATCTAACGCATCAGACACCTTAGATAATTCATTTGTGTATGGCGCTATATAATAATGCGGAATAGATCCAACTCAATTTACGTTAAAAAACCTAACATAAATAAATAAAAACAAAAAAGAAAAAACAAGCATAATGGTATGGTTGATTCTAGCACAGACACCAAAGCCCGTCAGCAATCTTTTGATCACGGCTCTTCTTTATTATTTTTATTTTACTTTTTTAAAATCTTACTGTCAGGGGCGAAGGATTACGCTGCATGCAATGGTGATTTCCAGGTGTAGGGTTAAACAATCGCTCTCTCTTTTGATGTAAACAAACCTTAATGACCTTTTGATATAATTTTCATGGGTATAATATTTTTATTAGCAGCTGTCATAAATTAAAACGGGCCTTTTGTTTGGCATGCCGCTCGCGGAATATCAAGATGGAGAGCATTTTACGTTTCAAGTACATGGAAGATCCTTTTTCTTCTTCAGGAATGGACGTGGACTGAAACCGACAATTTCTTCTTTCCTTTTTTCTTTCTTTCTTTCTTTCTTTCTCTCTCTCTCTCGCTCTTTTTTTTTTTTTTAAGAAGGGGATGGTTGCTGTTGCCCCGTGTTTAGGAGTGTGGTTTGGGTGGGGACTAAAATCTTCAGTGCCTTTCTAACGTCTAGAGTATCCTTGCGCTTGCGATTGGTCCATACAGCACCTTTGCATAACCAGTTTTGTCGTGAAAATAATTCTTTTGTGTGCTTTTGTTGCGGCATTTCATCTGTACCTTGCCATTCGTGCGGAGAAAGCCGCTTATTATACTGTTAAGGATCGCATATTGATTTTATACCTGTTACGCAGAGAAAAATACAAAAGAAACCATGCGCTGGGGAGTCAATGGAAAAAACCAAACTTCCTTGTTAGTTTACGTATTTCTTTGGGACCCCTCAAATAACAATACTTAAGCTTATAGCTCTTGCACAATTGCATACTTCAATCTAGATGATGGCGATGAAGGTAAGTTAAAATACATCAAGATGAAACATTTTAAGTAACAAAAAACCAAATAGCTATGATCAAGAATCTCTCATTAATTATCGCAGGATATTACTAGTATGTTTATAGAAATATCCCTAGTTCTGCTAGGTCACGTACACTTCAATTAACAACATGGCGTCATTCTGTGAGTGGCATCTGTGTTGTAAGTAACTATGTTAACTAATACATTAACTGCCAGATGCACGTCAAAGTTTGATACCTAGACCCTATATAAGTTCAAGAAAACCAGTTAAATTTTTTTGTAACTGAGTCTGGGAGAAAAGATTTTTTGTCATCGATGAATTATTGTACTAGTAGGCCTACTAGTATTATGTACTAGTAGCTTCTAGTTAGCAACTGAACCATGCAGCATTTGTTTTTTTATTTTAGGTGTTTGTGGAACGGGCCAGTGTGTCAGTGCGTCTTTTTCTACTGGTTGTAACTTTAAACCTGATCGTAGCTGGGGCGCACGGCGGATGCCCAAGTATTCTACCCAGCGCTTGCAATTGTGCAACTAGGATAGAAAACTTGCAGGAGATCACCTCTGTGAAATGCGTAGGGAAGGGATTGGCGGATACTCCACTGTTTACCTACCAGGCTAACCGCAGTGTTCACATTCTAGATCTCCGTAGAAATGAGCTGACCTCCATTGCAAATTATGCTTTTGATGGGCTGTATGGAGTGCGAATACTGTGGCTGGACCAGAACCAAATCTCAACCATCGCATCTAACGCATTCAGCGCTATTAGCAGCACTCTACAACAACTGCATTTAAATTACAACCAACTTCCGCGCATCCCATTGAACGGCCTGAAAGTTTTAACCAAATTACAGAGACTGGAACTGCGATACAATAAAATAGTAAATTTAGGTCTGACGGACCTTGAAGGACTGAACGAGTTAAAGCACTTGGATCTACAATCTAATGACATCAGTGCCATCGCTGAGGCGCAATTTTCGAAGTTTCCAAATTTGGGACTCTTGTCGCTCGGAGAAAACCGCATAGCCGACCTCCCAACGCGTGCCTTTGAGGGCATCGAAAACTTAACATCACTATCTTTGTCCGACAATTTGCTCACCGAAACCCCCCTTGACACATACGAGAGACTAAGACAACTAGAAATATTTGATTTTAATCGGAATCGCATAAGCGAACTTAACGTTGCTCTTTTTCAGAGACTAACGGGGTTGAGGAACATTTATGGATCTGGAAACAATCTCGAGAAAATAGAGAGAGGAACATTCGATAATCTCCACAGTCTTACTACGCTCGACCTTTCCAATAACAGATTTCACACACTGGCATCTGATACATTCAACGGACTCGCCATGTCATTAGTGACTCTAAACCTTATGAACAATAACCTGACTGAAGACTCGGTCTTACCTGCTATACACTCCTTGACTAACTTACAGCGACTTCTATTGTCGGGAAACGCCTTTCAGATCTTGGGAGCAAATGCGTTTCAGTCACTCAGCAAACTTAAAGAACTTTTCCTTGCTCGCAATAATATTCGGCGTGTAAACAACAGCGCGTTTTCTGGTCTTGAAGAAAGTCTTGAAGTTCTTCACTTAGAGCACAACCGCCTGTTGAAACTTCCGTACTTGAAAAACCTCACAAATTTGCGAGAGTTCTACTTTGGTGGCAACGCTCTCGGAGTTATTCCAAAGAGGGCATTCGACGGTCTCGAGTTGACACGCCTAGATCTCAGTCAAACGAACATCACCTCCAAACTGGCCTCACTTCCACCGGAGGCGTTCCAAGGTCTGGAGGAATACCTTGAAAACTTAGACTTGCATGGGAACTTCCTGGAAACTGTTCATCACTGTGTTTTTAGATGGCTGAAGCGCCTGAAGATCCTCGACATTTCGTTCAACCCCTTGTCGTGTGACTGTAGAATGCTGTGGCTGCATTTTACATTCCGAGACGTGACGTACAACAGAGCGAGGTGTGACCGGTCAGCGAACAAGGGTGAAAGTTGGGAAGAGTCAAGTGCCGTCGAGTCTTTTACAGTCTCCGGATGCTCGTCAGACGAAATCGCCAATTGCACTGACCCGCCGGTCCCTAGCTCTACAAATACCCCCACTAGCCAGCCGCCCCCTGGGGACCAGCCAAGGCAACTGACCGCTGACAAGGATACGGTTGTAGTTATTGTGTTGGTCTGCGTCTGTGGACTGGCTCTGCTGGCAGTGATCGTGGGGTTCATATGCAGTTGTTCTCAGAGACGACGCGTTCTCAAAAACGACTTTCCAATGTCTGATACATCTTCAACCGTGTACAGCACTTCTTCAGTTTTCAAGCGTTAATTAAGTGTTCATTTGAGAGATTTTCGTTAGCGTCACAGACAAAGTGTAAATGAAGGTGACTTGTTCAACTCAAAGGACAGCTCTCCCAGGGTGATGTTGTAATTAGTAGACTTTACTTTTCTATAGACAAAACGTAAGTGGTGGTGCGTTATGACCAACTAGACAGACATATAAACGTTCAAAATAAAAGAAACAGTGACATCGAAACTACCTAAAATTTACAGATTGAAGTAGGCCCTACACATTGATGCAATATAACATAGGCCAAAGCTTAATAGCATAATCACTACCATTCTTAATTATGCACTATTACATGTAATAGTGTGGACAATGAAAAAAATGTTACTGGCATAATGCTTTAAAGCCACACAGGTAAAATGCCAATCTGTGAAGAATGAAAAATAAATGACAAAAAATTTTGCCAGTGTCTTCAACAAGAATAGCCTAGTTTTCGAACTGCTCAAGTGTGGACAATCATTTCATTTATTCAAAGCTCACAGGAGAGCTCTCAAACTTTCGTGTTACATATATAACATACTGTGTAATTAGTGGACACAGGAGTGACACAAGCTAAGTGGCGGATTTTCGTCAGCGCTACAGATAAAGTGTAAATGAAAGTGACTTGTTCAGCTCTCCCAGGGTTGTGTTATAATTAGTACAAATTGTTTCTGTGGAAAAAAGGTATATATCCAAGAAACTACAGTTTATTGCAGAGGTAATACACAGCGACCGAAGACTTCTCGGGATGTCTTAAAAGAAATCAATGATTAAATGTAAAGATTGCTTTTTATGGATACATGTAGATATACGCGTTTCTTGTAAGGTACATGTATAAAGAGCGCTTTTTTGGAGACTTTAAAACATTGTATCAAAACCATATTTCACTATAATACATACGTGAATTCGAATTTTGTCTTGTTTAAAAGAAATGCGGTTTCAGTGCTTTAAATGTCCTTTTTAAATCATCTATAGTTTAACGGTCAAAAATATCACTTAAATTTGATGAAAAAACTAACCCTACGTGTATAGATTTTAAGGATTGCACTTTTCAAAGACAACTCTTTCAAAACATTACAAAACATTTATTGATTTGTAAACATGAGACGAAATATATGAACTACATGTAAAAATCACTCAAGGATTATCTCTCACACTGTGACTTCTGTTCAACAGGTGTCAAATCTCCATAAACATTTCTGACAGGTATTATGCATTCCACCATGTTTTCTTCACTTCAACTTTACAGCCTGTATAATGCATTTGATTTGTACATTTTATGTACACTGTAAAATAAAAAGCACTTCCGTATTAATTTCATTTACAAATCTACCGTATTGCAATGACATTAATGCACTGTTAACTTTCACAAATATGACATACTGCATAAAAAAGAGAACTAGATTCCGGAGACGTACATAAAGTTGCATTAACACATATACTAGTAGAACGTTAGGAAGAAAGGCATGCACAGTGATTACATGGGGGGGGTCATCTTTTGGAAGACTGTGTGGATATGAAAATTTGGCATGAGTATAATGCTGAAAAAAATAACTACACAGGAAGTTAAATTGACATAATAGTTAATTTCATAAAACAACAAATAGGCAAAGGGATATACGTGTAGTACGTATGTGTATGTCCCACATGTATTTCAACTGAAAACTGCAATTAGTCTTAGGTTATGTCAGCTTTTACTTGATTAAATCCAATTAGTAGTGATAAACATGGTGGAATCTAGTATTCATTTAAGTTTATACATAGTCGAAACATAGTTGAAACCAATATTCTTCTCAAAATTGAAATGTGAAATATGTCTTTACACATACTTCTATAATTACTCTCTATTAATTTTATTTTATTTTATTGGTTTATTTTATTTTATTTTATCATATATATATTAGAGCTACAATATTCAGACCTACAGAAGATAAAAATGTGCAAGCTTTCCACCTTTAAAGCCCTAAATAGGTCTAGACAACACATTAAAAATTACAAAACAATCACTGTTCACTTTGGCACAAATATGACAGACAAATATGAAAGCAGAGAAATGGAGAAAGAGAAAAGTATTATTTCATGTACTGAACTATCTTTAGGTCAATTATGTTAGCTGTCAATAACGTGTACCATGACTATCTCTTGATGTTGAAAGATATAGTAACAAAATTATACATATAGGTCTCCTTCACACTTCTGTCCTATTTAAAAATAGTTACATATGATTCTTAGATTGGGATAATCTTTTACACAATTCTTCAGCAGGAAATATCTCTGTAACAAATAAAGGCCAATTCCAGTTTGTATTTGGGCATATTTTGCTACTTTTACATTCATTTCATTTACATAATCCCAAAAATTGATAAAAAAAGAGAAGTAACAGCAATAACCCCACTGTCCTGACATTCCATGGCAAATAACTCTGTCATGATATCACAGTGGTTCTTCCTTCACTGAGTGCTGCTGGGACCTTCTACACTGACATTTCAATATGCTGCGTCTTAAACATACTACATCCAATCCTGCTCTAGCTCTCATCACTTCACTGGGTTGGTGCTGTACTTTTGTTTCATGAGCACTGGTTAATATTCTGTCCACTGCTGGCTTGAGCAACAAATTTCACATGGTAGTCTGTGGCCAGAGTAAAGTGGGAGATACATCCCACAAAACCCCCTGTGTATTTGTGAAGTGTTTTCTCTGCCATGTCATTCACTGCACCTGAAATATTAGTTTAAAGAAGATACATTAGAATATTACATTAATGATATATATACACTTCCATATTTTGAATAGGCAGTGATCTATACTGACTACAGATATCATACTGAAATCAGACAATTTTTCTTTTTTTTTTTTGTTTTCTGTAACTAATTTCTAATGTAATATCAACCATCTTTGTCATAGGTGGGTCAAAGGTTATCATTGTTTTCACAGCTGAATGTGTGCATGATTCTATGATCCCCCTCCCCCAATATCCCCCTGTCCTAGTAACACTGGGTAAAAGTGGTTATCGTAGAGGGGGAAATGACCCCCATCCCTGTTTAAAATCAGTAACCTTCTGCCCTTGTAGCATAAAACAGAATAAAGTGGCATGCCATTTGGTTGGCTTCCAATACATTTTTTCTGTTAAGAAATGACATACTGTATTTAAAGTAAAACTGCTATTTTACATTGCTTTTAGATAATTATGCTCTGTGTTCACAGGCACTTTTTTTTTTCATATGTCATACTACACTGAAATTTCTCTCAAATGGCACCACTGTATCCCCATACCTAAGAAGAGTTGTGTGTTGGTATTTAGCTGAGTAAATCTTCCAGGACTTCGGCCATCTTGTGCAGAAAGGTCATCAATTTTCAGAGACCCATCCTGTTTTAACCTGGGACAAAAAAGAATACTTTATGGCAACTGAAAATATGAATGATTTTTTTCTACAAATATTTATTTACTATCACTGTGGGATGTGACACAATTTATACCAAAACAGTTCATCTTATGAAACTTTCTGACCATGTGATACCTGCAATCACGTACCTTTTAGCATGAATCCTGTGCCACTTGCCGTCATCGATCCTGGTCGTATTGACCATGATGTCCGCCTCCCCACTGCCCAGGTTGTACTGAAAGTGGACATATCCTCCACGCAGACCAATAGCCACATAGTCGCTGGTGGTGCTTGTGTGTTCTTCACTACTCCACAAGATAAGTCCATCTGATTGGCTGGTCTTTAGCCGTATTTTAATATCCAGCTTCTTGCCTTTGATTCTATTTCAATGATAAACAGTTTCAATTTCAGAAAAAAATGTGATAATTTTAACTTCATATCATCTTTCCATTAAAAACATATAACTTTAAAAGAGCATCTTTTGTAAGCAAATAAAACCTTTTAATTTTTAAATTTTTAGCTGTATCTTACCTTTTCATGGTTTCTTCATCATTATACTTCAAGAAGCTGTTTCCTCTAAACATTGGGACTGTCACATCATCATATACAGCTAAAACATAAGTATATCATTTTAAAATATGCTAAATTATCAATCATCTATTATGATATATATGGAACTTAATTACTTGATTTATGACCTCTATTACACATCTTTTTCATTAAGAATATTTCATAACCGTGTTGATTTGTGAACAAAATATATTCATTCCCTCAGCTCTTCAAATATGGTAGTTCACAAAATCTCCTGGCAAAGTGGGGAGTATGTAACACGTAAATTTGTGTTCTCAATATGTAAAAAAAAGTAATTTCGACAAAGAGTAAAAGACCTTATAACATGGTTTCCATGGAGCAAATGACACTGTCAAATTATGAGAAAATCTAATCAAACTCCCATTTAGCCAAATGGTAATTGTTTCAAGCTTTCAACCCTGGCAGTTAAAGTGGGGAAAAAAACTGTAATGACTTCTGCTACTTGTAAAAATTTCATAAACGAAGCTGATAATTCAATTCCTAATTACATATGGTCTTGTAGAAAGACGTTACTGTACTTGTACATGCCATTTATTGATTAGACCACCATGTATTGATGATGCCTATATATACATAGAATGGTGAAAATGAATCACACATATGCTTCCCTTCATGTACACCTATTAGTAATTACTGACATTTGATGACATACGTTCAGTATATTCTAATAATTTACGATAAGATTTTACATAATATACAATTGAGATATACACAATCAGGAAAGAATTTCTATATATATGCAGTATATGTTTATAGTAGAAAATTTCATATCAGTGTTTAAAAATGTGCTTCACTAATGGAATCAGTACTGTCTTGTTGTTTGACCCCCCCTCCCCCCCCCCCAAAAAAAAAGGGTGTGGGGTGGCTGGCTTCTCAAAACCAAAGCATACAAAATTCATTGAAAAGAACATTATTAATTATTATATCTGCAATTAATTTGTGAAACCAGTCTAAAAAAACATGTATAATATTTGTTTTCTTTTTATTAGTATCCGTTCTTTTCTGCTCACTTGTCAAGGCCAAGTACATGTAGGAGTATTTTCCAAATGCAAATGTAGACCCTCATAATCAATACTAACTATATCATGGTCCTTCTCATCAATGAGTCAAAATACTTTAGGGATTCTATTACCCATGTGCTAAACTTGTTTGATTATGTAAAAGATGAAGAGATAGGTGACTTTTTGTAAAAGAAAGAATGTGCTGCAAAAGTTATAAAAATTTCCTCAAGTTAATTTCAGCTAAAAATCATTTAAAAAACCTATGTGGCAGCCTACAAAATTACTGGACAGTATTTATTTTTATTTTATTTTTTTATGTTATGTGTGAGCGTGTGTACTTCATGTAAAATGTATAACATAGCAGTACTTAATCTATATTGCAGCCAAAATGGGTATTGTTTTTGCACGTTTATACTAATTTATTTACTTAATTTTCATATCCTTAGCAGAAAAAACTATAGAGTACACCCAGTTATTGATTCTCAACTGTAACATATGTTGAACCAACCACTCCAATCACCACTACATCAATCATGCATGAACCATTTGTACTCACTTTCCTCACAGTTAGTGTTGGTGAACCCTAGAGGACAGTTACATGTGTAAAAGTTCTTATAAGGGACACACTTCCCGTTGTTCTCACAGGGCTTGGTGGAGCAGGGGTGACTGCAGGTGTCTATGTTAATGCCATCAATGTAGTCCTCCATGAGAGACAGAGGCTTGTTGTTAACAACCACCTATTTAATATGAAAGTTTAGGACATGTACCTTTAAAAGCAGCAGAAAATGTTCTAAAAAGAAAAGTTTAAGAGCATCATAAAATCTTTTAAAATAAAAGTTTAACATGCAATGCAAAACCATCACATATAAAATATCTTATTGGCACTGATTTATGTTGATTCATTTCTTTGTACTGTTTTGTATTTCCTATTTCCCTGATAAATGTCTGTCTACCTCATCTGAATGACTGTTTGTGATACTTTGACAGTTATGCTACCTCTTCATCAAGGTTTTTACCTGATACTGGAAACAATTTTCTATAACTTTAATTCAATTACCAAGTGGATTAATTTCCATATTATACATTTTTTTTTCAAAAATTTACAAATTCCCTCTGAGCTAGTTAAAAGTATATAACATAAAAATCATCTTTACATAAATACATGCACATTTCCAATGTTTATATATCTGGCATATACTGAGATAATTCACCTTTTGTATGCAACCTTGAAATGACTGTTTAACCTTAGCATATTTAGAAGTATCATCATAATTTCTATGTCCTCCAATGAAGAGGTCCTGTAACAGTGTAAGCTGTGTGTAAGCTCCCTGGGACAACCCCTGCACCGCAGGCTGCTCGTTCACCTCCAGAACACCATCACGTCCTGTGCGGGAGATCTTTACTGTGTGCCAGGCATTGAGAGGTAATGGCTGTGATGACCTGTGAAATATCAATTAGATTTAATACATATTATACTTTGTAATTCCTGTAGCTGAGGCATTTATTCAGAGGGACTGCACTAACTTTCAATTTTCAATTCTTAAAAACATGACATAAAGACTGTGTTTGTATCATCTGTGTGTGTGTACATGCCTACATGCGCGTGTTCGAGCATGCGTGCATACATGCCTGTGTGTGTGTGTGAGCTAAAGAGATCTTCACTGTATGACAGGCATTGAGAGGTAATGGCTGTGATGATCTGGGAAATATCCATTTAACTTCAACAATATACTTTGCAATTCATATAGCTAAGATCGCATTCACAACGAGTTGAGCCAGGCTTTACAAATCCTGGGGACTAAATATGGCGGACGTACATGAAAGAAAAACCGCCTAATCTTTTAATAGTCTCTCCGCCTCTCACACGCCTCCCCACACGTCGTCCCTGCGGGGGGACAGTCATTAAATCTCGGCTCCATTGGGACGACACATGGGAAGGTGTGTGAGAGGCGGAGAGACTATTAAAAGATTAGGCGGTTTTTCTTTCACGTACGTCCACCATATTTAGTCCCCAGGATTTGTAAAGCCTGGCTCAACTCGTTGTGAATGCGACCTAAGGCTTTTACTCAAAAGGACTGCATCTATTTTCAAAGGGACTCAGATTGATATGTTTATATGTATAATTTTTGAGGTAGAACATGTAATACTTTCATTATAAAAAAGCTCATTTCTTATACTACCTAATAATAGCAGGCCCAGTCCCTAAATCAAAGCGATATTCCAAATATCCATCCACCAGAGCCAGGGAAATGAAGTCTCCTCTACGATCTGTGGTGAAGCCATTATACAGGAGAGTGCCATCTTTATTTGTAGCCTTGAAGACCAGTTCTATCTCTGTATAGCTGAGTGCTGTTCTTCTGATTCCTTCATACTGGAGGAAGGAATGCCCTGTAAACTGGGGTACCACAATGTGCTCAATGCCTGAAAATAAACTGTCCACATTAAAATCTAGAAATTGTCTAATTTATTAAAACAAGCATTGCAGTTATTCCATTCTAAGCACTGAGATGTTATGCAAAAAAGTATCAAGTACTTGTAAATTTCCATCGTAGACTAAATATGTAAAATCCTTACTAAGGTGTACCTATATTATCTACTACTTATAAGCAGAATCATAAAAAAAAATCAATTTTTAAACAAATGAAGTAAGATTATGTATTACTTCTTTCACAATATTTCCCAGCAGTCATCATGGGGCATAGACAAGTGTAGGTGTCTGGCGAGTCCGCCATGCAACTCCCGCCATTACGACAACGAGAGTTACGACATATATGGGCACTGCATTCAGCTAGAGGAGAAAAAATTGAATTGGTACGTGGTAAATTATTTTCAGTAAAAGTTTATTATAATTTATCTCAATAAATGGATAAAAGAGTCAAATTACATGTTAACAATTTGTAAAAAATTGCTTTATAATTTGATAAAAGCACAACATGTTTAAATGGATACATCAGGTTTTACATTATCAACCAAATAAGCAACAAGGATGCTCATTACCAAAAGAATACAGGATTTTCACAAAGAGAAAGTTACATTACCAACAATGGAGATGACACTAGCATTTGAACTTTCGTTCCATAAGACCAATTAAAACACCACCTCACCCACATCTACACCATCTATGGCATCTCCAATGAAGGCTCCCTTACGGAAGTCAAACTCTTTGCCATTAATTTTCATTGCCTTGACACAACCAATGAAGCCAAAGTACATCCCTGTCCTGCTGCCTATGTGAGTAGTGTTGATGTATCCTCCTAGAAACAAGGGTGTACGGAATGTGATCCGGGAAAACAAACCCTGGAAAGCAAGAAAATATGCTGTTAAATATCCTTGATGTATGTAATGGTATAAAAGAATGCAAAGAGTTGAGTGTGTCATGGATTTTCGCAATGAACTTCATTATGGCACGTCTTTGTTTCATGACAGGGGTCAAATTTAATGCATAACTATGAGACTTACAAAGTAGGAATACATTTTGTGCACCTTATTTTGCTTAACACTGACATGCATGAATGTGTTCTACTCTTTGTATAGGAAAGTATACCCCACAAACTGCAATTCCTTCTTGGCATTGTGCAGCTAATTTGCTGCAATATGTCTGCAAAGTAGCAGCAGTATATTTTTTCTTGCAAACTCCTTCAAACTCATTGCTGCAAACTTTTCATTTCGCTAAGAAGAGACATTCAGTTAAGAAGATGATATCATTCTTTTTAATTCTATTTCTGGATTTACATTTCTATGATAACAAGTGCAGAAGTAGAATCATAAAAATATATTCAATTGTGTTGATGTCTCAGGTACATGTACACTAAGCCAGTGTTCCTGGTGTGTCAGTGTGTTAGGTGAGACAGTGCACATTAGGTTCATCTCTTACCTGAGCTCTCCCTCTGACCTGTTCTCCTTTATTTAGCTGTACAGACCCGTCCCACTCATGTCTGTGGACAGTGACTGTGTTCCACTTTCCCAGCTTTACTTCACTGGTCGTGCGGATTTTGGCCATACCAGTACCGCAGTCAAACCTGAAATCACGTAAAACTAGAATGGTCTTTGGTGTGTGAAAGAATTTACTGCTGCAGGACTTAAATCAAGAAAACCATTATTTCAATTTTAAATAGCTTCATAGCTGTGATCTGATCTCATATGAATAGGAGCATCACCTTGCTTTTAAATAAATTGCACTGGGACATTGCTGGTATAAAAAAATCAAGATTTTGTTTGATTGCCTTAAAATGACCTTACAGTTAATAACCATTGCGCAAAAATGTATAGCAACAAAGTGTCTCAAAATGGCCCCTGGTTATGGCACAGACCCCACAGGGTTCTTAGGTCAAGTTATTTTGAATGATAAAGGACCCTTTTTTACTTTTTTTAAGATATGAAGACAAGTTCACTGGCAATCTGCTTGTAGATAGGTTTCCTTGAGCTATTAATGAATAAAATCTATTAGGATAATGAAAAAGTAAACTTTTCTTAATAGACTAAATGTTTCACAGTAAAAATGAGGAACAACAAACAGGAGCTAGCAAACAAGTTGACAGGCTGCAATATTTTAACATTTCCAAGAGGCTTTGTATATTAAATTAAATGCAATTGGATGTAAACAAGTGAAAAGATCATGTTTTTTTCTTGCTTCCTTTTCCCCCATAATTTTGTTCTTGTCCTATACTACATGCACACCATACATTTTAAAGACAGAAATATCAACTACCATACTGATGAAGCAGCACAGAAAGAGCACAGAACGAGTGGGTGTATGAATAATTTATCACATATGTAACCAAGTCTGATCAAAACCATGTTTGGGATTCGAAAATTGAATCAGCAATCTTTTGGGAAATGAGAGGGAGATGAAAAATATTCAAAACACGACCACAAGCGGGCCGGTGTCAATGGCAGGAGCTACATCACCATAATTAGATTTCTTGGCACTAAATGACTAATATCTTATGGATCCTAGGATGAACAAAAGTTCACAATCCTATGCAGAGTGAGGAGAACATAATTAGGATTCAATTTTCACTCTGGCAAACTTATTCTAAGAGTCAATTATGTGTATAATCTGTTAGATACATGCACAAGAAAGCTGATATAAGTAGTGTTACCAGAGTTTCAGCAAGAAGACCAAAGCATTTCTACATATGATAATGCAATTTTCTCAGCTCAGATTATTGAAATTAATAAAGATTCCAGGCAAACTGCTGGTTAATGAAACCTACAAACATGAAAAGGATGGATAAGAAGTGACAACACCTGAAGGGAAAACAATTGCTTTTGTTCGAAATGTTGAATTTATTCATACCTAGAAGCCATGCATGCACCAGTTCATGTACTACATGTACAAAGTCTTATGAAGAAGTTGCTGCTGATGTTTTTTTATAAATTTACTTTCTAAGTAAACTTTCTGGGATTGTTTGGTAGATTTCTTGAGGCGAATAAAAAATTGTAATGGAGAGCACCAGTTCATGCACAGTGTGTGTTCAAATTAAAAAATATATGTGTGTTCATGTGTGTGCATGTGAGTGCATGAATGCATGTGCATGCATGTGTCTTTGTATTGTACGCATGAAGAGAATTAAACATGAGCATATGAGAGCACTGCACAACTTAATAGCTGGGGGGTGTGTGCCATTTTGTAAATCCCAAATGACATAATCTGCTCCTTCCTTTGAACTGTCATGCACAGATGTCATTGAAGATATTCCATTTCACTCCTGTCCCAGACTAATAGAATGACACAGTTATCTGTCATGATCAAAGGACATGACACAGTCATCTTTCTGGAGTGTTAATCTTGCACATAAACGTGCCTCTGAATACAGGTATGGTAAATCTCACTGCAAATCCTTTGATTCTGAAGTATAAAATATTCAGTCTTTTGGTTTCTATTATCCAAATAATTTTCTTTAGGAGCGTAAGCTATTAAACAGAGCACCAACACCTCATCTGTCAATCAATGTTCAGCAAACAAGGGGCGGACCTAATGTATACAAGTACCAGCATTACAATGATGATATGAGAAGCTTTAAGCTTATTACTAATGCCTAATTCAGGGGTCAATATCTGTGAACGCAACTGCTAATCCAGTATTATGGCTACATTGGTAGGGTGGATATATTACTTAAAGGATAATGTGTGTGTGTGTGTGTGGGGGGGGGGGGGGGGGGGATAGACATCCTTTAGATAACCTTCTATGAGGGCTCATTCCCAATGAAACTATTGTTCTACACAGATCGATCCAACTCCGCCAGAACTTTCACTGAATGCAATCCGTTTAACAGATTAACATACCTCTTCCTGGCATTCAGTAGCTAAAGAATACAGAAAAGCTGGGTGATTATACAAGTACATTGGAAACAAGAGGAGGCTTGTTAGTCTGTTAAACTGACTGTATTCAGTGAGAGTTCACCCAAAGTTGGATTGATCTACAAAGAACAAGTTTCCTTGGGAAAGAGCCATAAGTGAGAACTGGACTTCAACCAATTTTTCCAAGCAACACTTAGTGTGCATTGCCAGCACTGCACTTATCTTTATGTGCATATTTTCTGTTTAACATGTAAAATAACAACCTGCAACCAGGGAAATTGGTACTGAAAATTAGCTTAATACACTAAAATTAGTGTAGAGTTTCCAGTAATGGACTTGCTGCATATCATGATTTTGCTATGTTACTCTTTTTGCCAAATTCCAGCAATAGACCAAAATATTTTCTTTCAGAATTTAAAAAAATTTAAAAAAATTAATAAAAAAATACCATTTTTATCATCACACAGAACAGGCAGCAATTAGATTTCTGCTCTGGGCACCCACATATGGCTCATCAGGTGCAGGAAACAAAACTTATTTTCAGATTCCCGATCCTTGAGGACACTGGCTTGGAGCACATAAATGAGCTTGCCAGTGTCATGGAGGACCAAAGGGTCTGGAAGTCTGTTTGTGCTGTTGCTTAAATAATGATGTCGATGGTCAACTGCGATCGACATGATTGATGGATGGATGGATGGATACATAAATTCTTATTAGTAAGTTCATAAATTCTTATTAGTATCAAAACTTAGAGAACAAACTTACCTAAACTCCACATATCCATCAATCAAGCTGACTGAAAAGAAGTCTGTATGAGCATCAGGGTGTTCTCCACTAAATAACAGCAGACCATTCTGCGTATCGGGGCGAAACTCCAAAGTAACGGTCATCTCTTTGAAGGCCCTCCTCAGGACAGGGAACGAGACATACCCAGTGCCCATAAACTTAGGGTAGCGGACAAGCATTTCTACAGAAAAAAATATGATTTGATAATGTTACATATTTAATTTATGTATGTGCACAGACTGTGATATCTAATACAAAAGAACTTTAAAACACAGTAAACCGTGATGATTTTCTAACAGAAAAAATGGAATGAAATGTTTGATAATATTTCTCCCACTATGGCATGCCCCTTGCTCAGGCACTTTAGCTCCACAGTGTGCTTATCTCCCATGTATGTGGATTTCATTTCACTACCACTTCTCCTTTTAACTTTTTTTACTGCTATAAACTTTGATATACATTTTATGTCTGTGTTATACCAATGTCACTACAATTTCATAACAGATGTCTGAATCTGTGCAAACTTCCGTGATCTGGATAATATTAAAAAATAGACCTTTTTCTTTCAATACAGCTGACATAAAAAAACAACACACAGATATCATTTTATGCAACGAGATAACTGCTATGGAGTTAAGTTACCTGGGATGAGATCTTCTTACCAATAACTTTTTACAACAATCACTTTTTATCAGTGTTCAATGAGAAGTTAGCATCTGTTCCTGGTTGATTAAAACAACCACAACCTTTGTGTTGCAGAGAAATAGTTTGTGTAAAAAGGATACTTTATACATCTGCTAGGTAAGTAATTGTGTTTTGGCCCATGCTGGTTTGTAAGCATAACTCAAAAAGATATGGGTGGATTTTGATAAGTACAATGTAGGATAGGTCTGAAATGGGTTATCAGTAGAATCTATTCGATTTTGTAGGTGGTCCACTTATTTAAGTTAATTAATTGATTGATTTTTGATATTACATTCAAAATAAATGCATATTTTCTCTTTTGGGGGAGAGTGGGGCTACATGTTCCCATTCATGACCCCAAAATCCTGAATAATGTCACAGCTATAACAACTCTTATCAGATGGAATAATGGATGCCTGTAACTTCAAAGTAACTGACATGCACTTATTTCAGTAGGAAAATGGATGTAGGCATCAAACCCTCTGCCTTCAGCAGAGAACGTTTAGTCACTTCATTGAATTGGGTCTTGAATCAATGCCCCAGACCGTCTTCTTCTATCTTTGGAGACAATGTATTGATTCTGTCCATAGTCTGCCAAAGCAGGGAAAGGGGCTCGGGAGACCTTGGCGATCATATTTCTATCCTCACATTTTATGCTATTATTTTGGCAGATGGCTAAACTAATGAACCTCATCAATGAAGTTAATTATAACAGTTCCATTGAAGGCTTCATTCCAGAGAAGACAGCTCTTGTAAAAACCAAATTTATAAGTAGGGCAATTTGACATTTTCACAATGACAGGATTTTGTCTCATTTTCCCATCTGATTTAAACAGAAAACTGATGATATCTCCAGTGGGTGCTTTTATTGATGAATTTGGAGACAGAGAATTGAGAAGAAATGACTGATGCCACCAGGGATAACTGCTTTCTTTATTTTTCTGGTGCATTTCTTCACACATAATCATCAATCCTATGTTGATTGCTGATACAAATCTCTAAATATTGAGCATTTTTTAATTTCTTGTTTTATTTTAACATATGGTTTATTTTTAAATTCTAAACTGTAATTTTAACCCAATAAAAATCTAACACATTCAACCCTTGCGTATGCCAACTTTAATAAAAACCTATCCAAGACTAATCTTATCCATGCAGAAACAAGATTCAGTGAGACCATTCTTATGAGAAAAACTACATCTTTTTACCTTGTTCACAATAATCTCCATCAAAACCCAGGCGGCACTGACACCGAACTCCTCCGCGCAGCACGTCTGGCACACAGCTCCCCCCATTGAAGCAATCCAAGTCATTGCAGGAGGTATACTTAACAGGGGCCTTCGTCTGCCGACTTAGAACAGAGTTCTCATGTCTCTTATCATGGGTTGCTACTGGCACAATAATATTTTCAGAGGAAGAAGAGTCAAAATCATCATACTTATCACTGGATTTCTCATTTTTAATATCTGACTGTGAAGAAAATGGTACTCTATTGTCTGCTATGGTCCTAGGATCATCTCCCTGAACAATGTCATGTTTGGAATCTGATAATTTTGCAGCTTTTTTGGCTGTCTCTTTTTCTCTGCCCTGGGGCTGGTTTTCTGTGAAGGTCTGGGTGTGTAAAGTAGAGGGAGTGCTGTATTTTGTGTCCACATTGTGGGTCTGAGGTATTGTGTACCAAGTATGGTTAGGTGCTGGAACACTGCGTGTTGCTGAAACTTCTGAAATGACAATCATGGACATATATGTATAATCTTAATGAAATTTCAACATTTTAGTTTCAATTTCCAAACTCAAAACATATACATGTACATTTTTTTCGTGATAACATTAAATTTGAAGGCTACACAAAAGAAAGGCAATTTCATTTTAATAAGAAAACTGAAATGCAAAACAATACTTCATGTATATATTCAGATATCTTTATTCAACAGTAAGCTAGGGTTGTCAGCTAAGGTTGAAATAATGAAAGAAAAAATTTCCTCATGCTTCCATGCAAACTGTTTGAAATGATTATGTTGAATGTGCACTTTTGCATGGCTGCTTAAATCATTAGCATACCAAGAGAATGAATATTACTCAAAGTTATCGAAGATTTGAAGAACAAGTGAGCAGAAAACAAATATGAATTATCCAAAGTGCCTATTACGGCATTTAAAATAATGCTATCAGACCAATGCTACCGGTAGTTATATTTAGTTTGTTCATGTGCACTTCACTTGAAAGCATGCCAATATTTATTTTGCAAAATTATGTAATCCATATCTATTATTACATAAAACACTTAAAAACACACAATTTATACAAATTACTAGTAGAATACATTGCTATTAGAATCGAGGTAAATCAAGTTGTATTATTTTTACAACTTGTATCATCCATCCCGATAATAAAGCACCAATAATAGAGCACTTTTGTTTGTTGTTTCAAGATAAAAGTTATCTTCTTTCCACCCACGAATGCTTGCCCTTAAGATAATTCTCCTTGTACGTCTATATGAGCAACATATCTTATATACAAGTAATTGACTTTACACAATTTGATAATTCAAAATAGGCCAAATTAAGTTTCCGTGTAAGATAATTGTAAGCAGGTTTTGCAGCTGATGGTTTTCCAAGATTGGGTAAATGAAAGTTGAAAGTACTGTAAATGGATAATATTAAATATCTATTGTGAACTGGAGTTAATTAAAACATAAAGAATGATTCACATCTATGCAGAGAAAATGAGGAGAACAGTTCACATTTGTAAAAACAGCCCTCACTGTCTTTTAACTCATTTTATCAAGCATGTACGTAACCCATCCCTGGTGAAAGAACACATATCTTTTTTCCTCCATTAAAAATACAAGATGCCATTATCTGAAACATGACCCAAACAAATGTGGCTTTTATTTGCAGTCAGCAGCTATTTATGAACAAGAGAAAGAATGAAAACATTTGAATGATGTAGGGGTAGGGGTTCAAGGGGTTGAATGATAAAAATTGAGGTGGATGATGCTTGAATACCTTACAAAGAAAGAGACAGCTACTTCTAAGCATGTTAACTGTGCTATCTTCCAACCCAGAGTTGCAGAAAATTGCATTTAGATTGAGGCCCCTTTTCTTCCTCTTAGGTCTTATTCCAGGTTTGTTCTTTACGAGATCCATGAGGCTGTGCACAAAAGATAAGCTGCACGCAAAACCATGTTAGTTACTGGTAAATAATTTCCACTATTTTTTGGAGAAAATTTTCTTCATCATTTTTGTTTTGAATAAAGAACAGTAGTTTTGGTTGTTCTTGTGCATATGCTTGTTTGTAATAAACTGGAATTTTCATAAACCTGTGTATTTTCACAGGCAGATATCTGTTAGAGGATGGTGTGTGGAGAACAGTCTGCATTTAACACTGGCCCCAAGCCAAATGCCAATAAAATATTGCAAAACTGTTCAGTTACTGACCACTGTTTCTGCTTTTGTCTGTCTGGTAGATTCTTAGACTCTGGTGTGGCGTCCAGAAGGGCCAATGGGCTAACAAGATTTTGGCACAGACCAGAGTATATAGGCAGACAAAATATCTATGTAGGATTACAATCAATTGTACCATACAAAAATCAATATAGAAAAGGGCTTCCAAAGTTTGTTTTATTTTAAGAAAGACAAAATTTAAAAAAAATAAAATAAAATAGAAAAAAAACTTTTAAAGACTAACATGAAATTTGCAATATAAAGAAGAAAAAATTCTATAAACGATCACTTACTGTTTGTAAAAAATTCTCCACACACTGGTGACAAAGGTCTTTTCACAAAGGTTGTTAATAATACAGTGACCTATACCCTGAACATTGCAATCTACTATCAATATTTCCTTTAAGGTATCTTTAATCCCTTTTAAGTCCCTCATTATAAGATAAAATGCATGAAATCAACTCTCTTGCCCTGTGTGAGACCATAGATGAAGGAGAGAAAGTCACAATGGGCATATCTCTGCCATTGTACAGGTCATCAGACACAAGATTTTCTAATTTATTTTAAAAAGAAAAAGTTTGGACTCCTGCAGGACTTAACATTTGACATCTGACTGGGTCATGTTGCTGAGTGCTTAACCTGTGAAAGAGATGCCGACAGCAGCAACACCTGCCTGAGATGATGATAAAAGAACCAGTAAAATGATTTTTTTAAGGAAAACATTTGCAATTAAAACTGGACACAGGGGCAAGGTCTGATTAGAAAAAAATGCAGCTTTAAAAAATGTTAAGAAAATGTAAAATCAATACAAATATGCAAAAAACAGACATGCTGTATTCTGTTTGTAAAGTACATCACACATGATATCTTAAATATTATCATTAAATAACTTCTGTGATTCCATGATTTCACTAAGGAGGGAGGGACAGAGGGAGAGAGAGATTAACAGGGAAGTATTTTTTCAACCTTGCTTCAAAAGCAATGTCTGCAGGCAAGGACATATGTGTTACAGAGGCTGTTTTTGTTACATGTGTGTAATGCATTGTTTATCAGAAAACAAAAACTGGCAAAAAGGGTTGATTTTGGTTAGGTTTCCTTTTTGTACAAAATATAAAGGTTAGATTAACAAACAAGTCTGATAAGAGTATATTTAATACATGTGAGCTGAATCCCACTGTTAACAGCATGAAAAAACTGCTTAATCTTTGAGGAGTTTCAGCTCAATAATTTTGGTTTACCACTTCCAGTGAATAACTGCACCAACAGCCTGTCAAATGACTCAAATAAGTGGAATCATATAAACAGTTTACAAACTGGGTGAAAATGTGGAATTCAAAAACCCACAATTAATGTAGGCTGCATTAAATTCTTGATACACAATATATATTTTTACACTACATTGGAAATTATGTAAAATCACTACAGTATTGGGCAGGCCCTATAAGTACATTGACATTTTTAAAGAGTTTCAATACTATAGGAACACTCAAGTCTCTCAAAAATGTCCACAGAAGTCCACATATCCACACTGACACATAGGTACAAATAATTTCAAAGGGATACTGTGACTAGCTATAGTATCTGTCCAGGCTATAGGCATATAGAAATAGATAAATGGATATTCAATACCAATTACCAGGACTGATGTTATTAACAATGACCTGAACTTCACAGGTTTCACGTCCTCTTGACTTTATTCATTTAAGTCACCATGGCTGAGTCAAGAAGCAAGGGTGAGGTTGTCTCTTTTCCTTTACACCCTAATATACATGTTACAGGAGATCAAGTTAAAACAAACCTTCAGGAAAATCGGAAATAAAAGCTAAAAATAGTAGAACAATAAGAAATATAATGGAGAAGTATAACAAAATAAAAAGCAACATCCCAAAAGTCATCCCAGTCCAAAACGGTTAATAATACAAAATTTAAATATACAAATTACTTGTATAAACAATGTACTACAGTTCACTATATGAACTTGTAACTTCAGATAGAAACAGCTTTCACCCACATAGTAGAACCTTCAACCTGCAGCAGCTGCAGAAACAGTTCAATAAAAGGTATCCCCAAGCAATTTTCCCACACATTCTCCATTATTTTTCCCCCAACAATCAACATAAAATAAGACCATAACATTAGGAAAAATAGCATTTTCTTTCCAAATAGGATATTCTCCAAAAATATGAAAAAACAAGAACCTGATGTTAAAACTCACCTCGACAAGTTATCCCATCATCGTTGAGTTCATAGCCATCTTTACACCAGCACTGGTAGCCGCCATAGTAACGATTGAGACAGACTTGCTGGCAAAATACTTGGACATCATCACAACTTCCTGAATTTATCAAAAAAAAAAAAAAAAAAGTTCACATATATAAAATATTATATATGTGTAATGAGAAGCAATAAAGTTGGTAAAATGACATATTTAACCATAACAACATAATTCCTGGCAAATTTAGCAAAAAAGTATATTGGTTAATACCGTTAACCTTTTTATCTGTTCAAACTTTTCTCTTTTTTTTTATTTTTATTTTCTGTCTGTAATCCTTCTGTCACTGCTGATCCCACCTATCACCACTCAAACTGCATGCAATGAATTTTTTTGTGTAACCTGTGCCTAGGTATAATGTATTGAAGCTGTCAAACACGGTTCTTATTTTAGACATAGTACAGTGTTGATCACTATTAAATTCTGTTTAGCAGCCCTTCCTCAACATATCTGACATACTTCTAGAAGTGTTCTACAGAGGATTGTATCAAATGAAATATCACGTGTGGAAATGTTTAATCAACACAGATATCCCCTTACCCCCCCCCCCAGCCCCACCCACCCCCAACTTATTTCCATTTAACACATTATCCAGTTTAAGAATTCTTATGCAGTAAAGATTTCTTAAATATTCAATCTGTGTCAAAAACCAAGCCTACTATCCCTTTAGGGTCTAAATGTGGACCACTGTTTTATACAATTAAACTATTTACCAGCTTTGTGCCTCTTTAGATGGACAATTGTCTTGTATTAGGGCCTATAACTGCACAGACTGAATATTATGACTGAAATATGATATGATATTTTTGAGATGGAGATTAAACACTCAGTCCATTCATCAACTATCATGCAATGACACCTGATTCAGCAGATCTTGTTTCAGGACACAGAAACAAACCATAGCAGTGCCTAAACCCACTGAAAACACTGACAGGGGCATTTTTGACATATACACCACTTGATGAAGACTGATTTTATGAAAAAAAGAACATTAAGGTATTTTATGTCTGCTAAGAGTTTACAGCCTGAGAGGATTGTTATCACAGAGTATTTATTGCTGGAAACCCAGCTGCGGTGCATCTACCACAACATTTTTTACAAAACAACTACACTGCTAGGCCTTCTCAAGTTAGAACCTTGGTTAGTCACTTGAGTGAAAATGATATCCTTCTTTCCTTGCCACCATATTCATATGAGTGAAATAAGGTACAGAGGAGAGTAATGGGGGATGTTTATGAAGTATTGAGAAGCAATGAGCCATGTTGCCAGCATGGTGGAGTCAAAATATTAACACATGCCTAACAAAAAAAGCTCTGATATTTTAATATTATGTTTAGCGTCTTTGTAATTAAATAATGTCATCACTTTTAAATAGAAAGGTGTTTTTAATACCACTGCTATGCTTACTTTCAGGACAAAGTTGTAAAACTTCTTTATTTCTAAATTGGATAATAAAGACATTCTGGCATGCTTTTATATAGAAAACTGCTTTGCTTTGTTTGCTTAGCTCGTAAAAGTAACATTTCAATTCTTTACTGTAACATCAGCCACCTTTTGCCTATGGCAAAGAAAAAACAAATATTATCAAGAAAAAGTCTTGTTATCAAATATGTACATTTAAAGAGAAGTTTTAAAGGAAGGACATAATTTTTGGCTGTATATACATAGGATGTCTCTCTTGTAGGTGGACAAATGCTAAAGCTCTGTTTGTTAACTGTATTGTGCAAACTCACTCTACCTGACTGTATACCTATCTATATGGCTTTTGTGAAACGACTGTTTAAAAAAATATACAGCCAACATATAAAAAGCATTAAACTGTCAAACAACAGGGGTGGTTTGTGAGAAAAATGCAAAATTAGGCAGAGTTAGTTTTCAGTTTTCAGCAAGACTTATGAAAAAAATCCAAGAGGGCACTTAAAAGGCAGTCATAAATGTCAGGCTTAAAGGGGTACTTATCTTGATGAACAACTTTACCTGTAATGTCAAACTTCATAAACTGACAACATTGTACTTTCTGTAATAATGTTATTGACTATGGAAACATAATGGCCACCTTTGTTAAGGGGTTGGGTGTTGCTGTGTGGGTTCAGATTACCTGAGTGTGACAGGATACAGGTAACAAAATCCAAAATTACCAACCCCTCTGCCCTCTAACACAAAGTCACTGAAGGACTGTAACTTCACCTGGCTTGTAATGGTCTTCTTCAACTTTGGGGACCACCAATTTACCTGTCACTTTGATAAACCAACTGAATTTGCCCAAAATAAAAGCCTCATTTGATTAAAATTGGATTGACCTCTCCTATACAAATTCTTGACATAAAATTGTAGAAAGATTTCTTTTGTTGGTGTTTTTGCACATTATCTGCTTAAAAAGGTTACTCAAAATGTATTGATAGGAAATAAATATAAAATAAATCAATATAAATATAAACCATGAAATTCCATCAAATTAACTTGAAATTATTTGACATAAAAATCAGAAATTAAAGAAACCCTTAGGCAGGAATGCACCTGTAATAAAATTAAAATGCCGTAGTATAAAAATGTTATAAAAGCACATTAGATTTCAATTAAAATCTATAGTTTTCCAAGCTGTTGTTTCTACTCCCACAGGTGTATCTTTGGGGTGGAGAAACATCAAACAGCAGGGCAGCATGTTGTCCCAGGCAAAGCCCCATCAAGTAGCAATTAAATATGAATCACATACAGACCAACATGGTACACCTTGGGGCATTTTCTAATAAATGCACAAAGAAAGCCGGATTATTCTTTTTTTCACTCCTCTGCTTTTACAACTGTACTGCAGCTATTGCCTGGTCCCTTTTGTGTAAAAAGTGTGCATGTGAATTCTTATAAGTGGAGTTTCACAAAATGGGAGATTTTTTTCTGTATCTGTTTATTGATAAAGCCTACGTAAACTATGTGGTCATTGTGAGAACAGTTCTCAGCAGCTACATGTGCTGCCTGTTTACAGCTGACCACTTCAAATCAAGAACATTTGAAAGTGATTAATAATTTCAGAACAAGACCTCATCATAATGACTTGAACTTGGATAAAACATATGTCTACTACCTGGTGCAGAACAATAAATTTAACAGGCAGTTTAGATGCCCAATGCCTCAGAGCAATGTCATGCAAACTGGACTTCAATTAAGCATTGTCCGTAATGATGGAGAGGGCTCCAAGGTTGACAGAAGATCATCAGGTTCCATAGTCTTTCCTCAGCTACAATACAAAGGACATCAAAAGGACAGAATGCTGTTATTATGTGTGCTCTTATGGCTGCTGGACTAGAGCAGAGTATGTGTCTTACTGGAAGGCATAAATCTCTGCCACAAGGGCAATAAACATCCATCAAAATGCAAGTAATACCACTACATGTAAATACCACATAGTTAACTTTGAGCCCAGCATACATTAAGTACACTTTTTGCCAATGATCTGACATCATTTAGAAAGCTTCAAACATTTTTCTGGCAGTTCTTCCTTTCCTTTTTTTCTGTCTTTTAAAGTCTCATCCTTTTTCAAATTTTCGGTATTTATTTGGCCACAAACTGCTTCGGCAGATCAGATATATTTGTCCTGGTAAGAGCTCAGAGACTGATGTGCCTAATGTTTCTGTCACTGATCCAAGGAAAACTCTGTGTTCCAGGAACACCTTTGGCTACCTTGAACATGATGACATGCTGATCTTATCTTAATCTTATTTTCTTGTTAATACAATTTGTTCTTTATAGTGTGAATTTGGTCAACAAGGGTAATTGAAAATATTTAAACAGCAATGTTCTGGTCTCTGTAAGGGCACCTCTTCACTTTTTCCTCATTAGGTAAATATTTAAAGCACTTGGTAGTTGAAGTGGGCTGGGATGTGTTCTTATTTCCCTTGCTGGTTATCTTTGACAAAACTGAAACATGCTTGGTTTAAGATCCCATTTCCAGTACAGTTGAGACAACTTAACTTAGTGCATCACATATCATCTCAGCAGATCCCAATAAGATGATTACAATATCTTATTATAGGAAGCCATTCTAATGTCTCTGCTGTCCCACCCACTGTTATTGATGCTACACTTAGTCTTATGGTTCTAAGTCACTATCTACTTTTTTATCTATTACCTCTATCTGTTTGCCCATTTGTCTGTACGTCGATTTGTCTTTTAGCAAGGTTGTGGAAAAAGTGGATGGATTTTGCTAAAAATTTTTGGAAACTGGGGTGAACTAAGTGACAAATATTTCAATTTTGGTATGATTCATTCATTAATATAAATAATAACTTATCTAATCAATCATATAAATAATCAATTATAATGATAATCAATTTTATTAATTAATAGATGAACAATAATTAATAGTAATGAGAACTGAACTGCCTTAGCAAAAGTCTACTCTCTCTAAGTGCTTTTATTGTTTCTTTAATTCTTTAATTTATTTACATATTTATTTATTTATCTATTCATTTATTAAATTTGGTACAAACACTATGGTACAAAAGGCTATTACCTAAGATTTTGTATCACAAATTTTATGCTTCTATGGTCTGGTAAGACAGGACATAGTAAATTGAGTCATTGAAACTGGACTGTGAATCATGTGGGACTGTATACCAAGTTAGAAGCCAGCACATATGTAACCTCCGTTATCTAATTAACTAAGTTATGGGAAGATGATCTGCTGGCCTGAATGTCTGGCAAAAGATAATTCAATTTCCATCCTCACAGAAGAAGACCTGTATTCTGTCTGTTGAGATGGTGGAGGTACAGGTGGTCAATAAAGCCACTGAATAATTGAGTTTTCACACAAAAAATGCCAAAAATATATTTGGCTCTCCAACCTTGCAATGGACAATTTTTTTAGATTCTTGCTTAATCTTGGATTCTTAAGTAATTATTAAGAGGACATTTTGTAGTTTTTTAAAGCAGTGATTAACTGATTCATTAAATAAAGTCTTTACAAATAAATTAAAAATCCATTCACAGAAATACATGTAAGCAATCACCATGACATAATTCAAGTTCATTACAGCACATTATACATTAGAGACAGGTTTATTTACGCTTTTAGTTTCCATCCTCCACAAGTAATACTAGCTTGACAAATGTTCAAGAAATCTTCAAGTAATTATAAACATTTGTCTTGATTTACATTATTGGAAGTTGGAATATTTCACACAGCCACAAAAGTATGCAATGTGGGATGAAGTAAAAAAAGAAATACTGAATCCCAAACATGTACTATATGTGTGCCCAGACATTTCACCAACCAAACCACATTTGCCCTGGTACACACCATGTTAAAAGGACAAACAAATAAAACTAGCTTGTATCAATAACAGATTAAGACCATTTCTTGTGGAAAGTACTGAAAATGGAAAAGATAACAGCCCGATGTTTTTACTTCATTTCTGAACAGAAGCAGGGCATTTTAATTGCAATACAATAGCTAAGAACTATATGTCAACAAAAGTGGCAAAGACTTCAACAAAGAATTTCACACCTGGAATGGCCGACAATTGCAATATTTTCAAACAATTGGCACTGTATAATTTATACTTGTACACAGAGTCCTTTACATCAACAAAATTGCCTTCTATTTTTACAATGTGTCCATTGGCAAATAGTTCTTTTTAAAGTGGTTTCTTTGAAGTTCTTAGGATGAGTAGTCTGTCCTGAGAAGTAGTAGCATAAAAAACTCATACAGAGTTCCTATTAATCTGTCAGCAAAAATAAGCCAGCAGTACAGAAGCACTACAATTTCAACAAAATTTCTTTTTGTCTACATCTTTTGTTTTTCATTATAAACAAAGATCTACAATCAAAAGTTTTTAGCAGAAATAATAAAAAATAATAATAAATCCATTCCCTTTCAAAATTAAGACCCTAACTGGTGCTTCAATTTCTTATTTCTCAACAATCAATCCATCAAGCACTGACTCCTTTCCAAAAACTTTCCTCCACAGGATTGTACATTAGGTCTGTTTATTTAGGTGACTTTCACACAAAAAACATGCATTGATTATAAACTTTTTTTTCTGAAAACAGCAGGAATATTACATTACCTCATGAGTCAGTGCAAATGAAACAGAAGATAGTTACACAATTTGACCAAAAAAAAACATTAATTAGAAAAAGCAAGGACTTTCCGAGTAATAAGTCTCCATGAACAATTTTATTATCATAAACAATAATTCTAATTAAATATTCCAATTAATGCACACAAAAAAGTATCTGTAGAGTTATACAAACCTACTAGCAGCATCGATCGTGATGCTTTTCATACCATGTATATAAAAAGAAAAAGAATTTCATGTTTCAATAATTCTGCTCAAACTTTTCTACTTCTTTGGCTAATTTGACATTGATTCTAACTATCCTATTACCTATACATCCTTCATCCCCACATCACCCCATTCACCATTCACTTTAATAAAACATTTAAAGAATGTTTTTAAAAAGCACTCGATACCAAATTAATATTTCTGCATGGCTGTGGTGTGCATACTCACCCTGGAAGACTGCTTTTGGTACTGGAAAAGTGTCAAATCCAAAAGTGACGGCAAACGTGAGGAGGAGAAGTTGTATTTGGACCTTCATGGCGAAATCCAGGCCACTACGTAACTCTCGAGTTCTTGAGTACTAACTGGTTACGATAGTCTCCACATGACTAGGTGTAACTACACATTAGATCTAGATTATCGTTGAAAGTGTAAACGGTCCGCAAACGAAAGCCCGTGCACCACAACTCCAAGACAGATTGTTTGCCGTATCGTAGGTCAAGGGTCAAGATATTGAACTCGTCGGGAAATGGGTAATGCACGGACGGGTTCATTTTTTCCTAACATGCCAATTTTCGACTGTTTATAGTATTTATGCACTGCATTCACCGTGGTAAATAAATATTTATGTATAGAAAAGAAGGAAAACCATATGAACTTTGAACAGTATTCTTAAAGTACATAACACTTTAGTTGTCACAGGAAAGGAGAGGCCATTGTGACAGATGAAGTTGATTGTGCTCTGTTTACCACAACCGACGCAATTTACCTTAGATCACAGTTGGAGCGATCGTAGAATTTCTGCTTTTATGGAGCGATGTACTGGCGGTTTACATGTTATTGATATTGTTGGTCTGAAACTCCCAAAACGCTTATGTAAACTGTGTATTAAATACATCTTTTAATAGCCAGAGAGCGTCTTAATCTGAATAAGTGAAATGAAAAAAAAAAATTAAAAAATAAATGAATAAGATTTTTAAAAGTGTGCGAATCCACGGCCAATCTTCCGGATCCTACAATGCCATATATTATTATATAATTAAATCCTCAGATTTAAAAAGTAGGCCTATCCAACTGAAAGTAAATCAAAGTAGGCCAAGGCTATTTTACACATCTTTCTTTTGCATTTTGCTTCTTTATCCCCAATTATGACCGTAACATTTAGGATAAACACCGTCCAGCGACAAAAATCAGAGCTGCCACCATAAATCTCTTATTCCCTTGGTATTTATATTTCTTGACGCTGCAAGTGAAATTTGATACAAGGAGTGACCCACATACTAATACTGATTGTTTTGTGAAGCTGCTAGAGACCAAGTACAGATACAACTGCAGAATGGCGTCTTTTTGGCAGATTCTTGTCCTCATGTTCATCATGTCAGTCTTAACAGATGGTGCTCCTAAAGAAGGTAGATAAATCATTCTCTCTCTCTCTCTCTCTCTCTCTCTCTCTCTCATATACTTGTACATATATAATTGCAAATATTTTCTTTTATTCAGAATGTAAGACCAATGGCGATTACTTGGGCGACGATTCTGACCTTTGCAAATTCTACCATTGTGTTTGGGGGAGGGCATACTCACAGCCGTGCGCGCGAGGCACCAGGCTACCCTGTAACTTCACCCGCCAGGCGCCCAACTCGGGTCTGGGAACTCCTTGCAGGCTTCCAGGAACAGAATGCGATCCAACCGTTATGTGCGACCAACCTAACGGAGAAATGCCATTCACCGGAAGCATACCATAGAACAACGTACATGATTGGAGCTCATGGTAGCAGAGTCAATAAAACGAGTAACTAGACTGAACTAGGCGAACAACCTGTCCAAGACGAAGTTATCTTGGATAGCGCACGCTCAAATCCTGAATTTTTTTTTATCAGACAATATACTTGATTGAAATTTACATGCACAAAAAAGGATATACTACCATAGTTGTAGGAACTTTGACAACCGTTTCCCCCCAAATTGTTCTTTTACGTACAACGTGTGTTTGATAGGTGAAAATACTGTTCTATGTATACCTGTACACTGTAGTATATAGATAGGCCTACACTGTACAGTGGGGGAAGCCTAATGCCAGAGATGTGTGCGCTTGCTGTCTTACGCTCTCTATTTCCTATTAATTAACAAATGTCGCAACCAAACCACGTTATTAACTTCTAAAATGTATAACCTTACTTAAGCTTTGTTTCAGCCTCTTTCCCAATCATTCATATGTAATAATTAAAGGAAGCATCTAATCATTAGTTAAGTCATTTTATTTCAAGTTTGTATAAACAAATTTTAAGTATGAATACCTATATATTTATAAACTCAACAATTTATCAATCAATTCCTCATCAACAAGATTTCTGAAAATGCTATTTACTGAAACAAAAAATGATGCTTAAAACAAATTAAAATTATAGATATATATCTTAACCTCAATATAATGGATGACAAATATCAAACAAATAAATAAACTGATAATACTAAAATTGATTAAAAAGATAAGTAAATTAATTATTGTCGCTCTGCGAACCCGACCTTTGTTAATTCTGGATAAGTAATGAACTTACAATGGAGAGATTTCACTTTGTGCACAATGATTTTTGTACTCATGGATAACGGTTTACCATCTAACGAAGATATGATTGTCCTCTGTTATTTTTTTAGATGAATGTTATTAGCGAAGCATCTAACTTTACAGACGAGAAAAGTACAATAGGGTCATGGTCTATGTGAATTAGAATCATCTGAAATCAACATGGTAGAAAAATGCACTTTTTCCCGTCTCCTTTCGCGTCAGTTAGCCATATTCGCATGCTCACTCAAGCTATGTCTTATGATACGATGTGGTGGTACGAAACTGTGGCGTTCGTGGCTTAGGAATGGACATTTTCCTCTTAATAAACGTTGCACTTTTTATCTGCATTCATTGTGGAGCCTGCGGGACAGCTAAATGCCTGCACGAACTCATCCAACTGTGCTAAAGCCGTGTTTACTCTGCAAATAACAAGGGATTCGTGTCAGAAATTCCTGTCACATCTAATAACTATAATACGTTTCATATGCATGTATACAATCTCAAAAAATTTAAACAAAGAAGGTGGCAATTAAAAATGATTTTATCTGTTCTTCACGTGATAGCTGTAATTGAAAATTGCACTGTCCCTTCAATGTAGTAATACATGTAGCTACATTTGTTGGTTTGTTAAAACTCACTTGAAACTCTCTGGATAACTGCCCTGCATTGCCTGGGAGTATCCGTATCCCTCATTCCTGTTGAAACAGTTTGTCTAAAAGATAGGGAATAACGTATTATTTGCTATACCAATTTATTTAGGAAATTATTAAATGAAGAATTTCCTTCTCCCACCGACACCCCTTCCAACTACATATACACATGTACAACAGAAACTGGAATTATAACAACAATGTTAATGCAAAAGGTACAGAGCTACCATGGCCCATAGGAGCCTACGCGTGCGTCTTTTAGACGCCCCTTTACATGCGAAAACGACAAGGCCTATGCCGAGTTCATCTTTTACTACAGAGCTTTGAGAGCCGAAAATGACATGGCTGTGTCTCTTTCGCCACTTACTGAACTCCACAGATGCGAGATTGACACGTCCCATGTCGCGTTCGTCTCTCAAATGACACTGTTATAAAACATGAAATAGGCATAACGTGTGATTTTCGCAGCTGAATAAGTAGACCCTTATAAACGAAGTTGACGTAACTTGAGAGTCATGTCGCTTTCAACTCTTACAAACCTCCAACAAAATCTATCTCCACACAGACGCGCGCGACATGTACTATTGGACATGGGTCAGTTGAAACCCTATTAACCTAAAGGGCTCATGTTACTTTCAGCCAACTCTTATATGTCAAATCCAATTAATTTGAAACAGTGTTGTGCTGTCCCAAAACATTTTTTTCATTTGAATCCCATCATAATTTAGTGCTATCTAGATAACAGTGTGGCTAATTGCTTGTAATAATTATATGGCCTCATATTTTTATTTTCAAGGATTCAAATATAAAGGGTTTTAAGACGGTCCTTCTGTTTCAAATTAATTGGCTGAAAGTAACATGAGCCATTTAGGTTAATGTCGCTTTCAACTTACCCATGTCCAATAGTACATGTCGCGCGCGTCTGTGTGGAGATAGATTTTGTTGGAGGTTTGTAAAAGTTGAAAGCGACATGACTCTAAGGTCACGTCAACTTCGTTTATAAGGGTCTACTTATTCAGCTGCGAAAATCACACGTAATGCCTATTTCATGTTTTATAACAGTGTCTTTTGAGAGACAAACGCGACATGGGTCGTGTTAATCTCGCATCTCTGGAGTTCAGTAAGTGGCGAAAGAGACACAGCCATGCCATTTTCGGCTCTCAAAGCTCTGTAGTAAAAGACGAACTCGGCATAGGCCTTGTCGTTTTCGCATGCAAGGGGGCGTCTAAAAGACGCACGCGTAGGCTCCTATGGGCCATGGTACAGAGCGTTTCCTTTTTAAAAATCTTATCAACGTATTATTCTTGCAAACAGATGGTCTTGTCGTGTGGCGCGCAGCACTGATTCTCTATTTACCTGTGCGTAACTGATGAAGAAGGCCTGCTCGTTATTTTTATTCAGTCCCGGGACTTGCTTCTCCGCTCCATTCTGACTGACCCAATCTTTGTACGCCTAAAACGAAACAAAAGTATTGAATAAACAGGACTAGACAACATTTATCAGGTCAAATTCTAAGCGCCCATCATAATAAGCAAAGGATTTCATAACTGGTCTACTCTTCTGACATTTCAGATTTATGCGTCGGTAGGGTGCGCTTACATAACTTCGTCATTTGAAATTTACTAAATTCTTTATAACAAAACGAAAAAACTAAGATATTTCCTGAATAACTATAAAAACGCTCAGAGAACGAATATTTCTATAAAGGCAGCTCTGTCCAAATCACCATTAACTAGCTGCACTCGAATTGACAGAAGACCACAACAATCTAATTGATAATGTTTAAAAAAAACATTTCTGACCTATCCTCTAAAATTTATCAAAAATCCGACCAAAACATTTGAGTTAAAGTGTTTACTAATTAACTAATAAAGGCAAAAACATAACCTTGGAGCAAGTAAAGATGATAACGGAAAATAAAATCAGCTTGATTTAACCGGTAAAGGACAAGTGTCGTCAACATATAGAGAGGACACTATAAGTTAATGATTCTATCAAAAATATACATTTTCTCGGTAGAAATAACTATATAATACTTGCCTTACATAAAAAAAAGACACACTGTTGATTTTTTTATATGTCTGTCCACTCACCACTCTTTAAGCATTTTTATACGTTAACAGTGGTTGCCACCACCAACACCACAAATGTTACATTTTTTTTTTGTTATATTCTTATGTCAACTTGATTCGGCAATAAACTATTCTATGTTATTCTGTCCACTTACATAATAAGCCATACGCACTCCCGCTGTTTCCGTCAGCCCTTCAAATGCATACCGTCTGGCATTAATTGGAACTTTCCTCTGGAAAAAAGAAGAATTCAAAACTAGAACTGAAAAATCAAACTTGGGTTTTAACGAAAAATGTTGCAGATATTACCGTATATATACATTACAAAAAATTTAAAAATAAACTTTGTTTTTCTTACCGTTTCCACCGTGCCCTCGCTGTTAGGTATTCTGAAGCCCACAGTCATATTAGTATAGTAGTCGGACACGCAGCGTTTGCTTTTCAAATAATCTACAGTAGTTTTATTACTCCACCAGTCAAATACAGTGCCATTCTTCAGGAAATAGCCACCTGGTGGAAAAGGGGTGAAAAAATGAAATTCATGATGTTTTCAGTGATGGTAAAAGTGCCCAACACAGAGAGATAGATAGTCCCTTTAAGAACGTTATTATTATTATTCATTTTTTTTTTTTTTTTTGGAAAGACAAAATTTCAAATTATTTTCCACCTTGTAGGAAAGCCAAACATGTATTATTACCATTCGGCATGAGGACATGAAATATACGAGAACAATATAAACCAAATATCCTGCAATCCAAAATACTAGTAGACCGTATACTTGCCATACTCATCGATGCCGTGCATCAGTTCGTGTGCGACAATGGATCCCATGGCACCAAAGCGTGCGTGCTGGGGCATAATTCTGGTATAGATAGGGAACTGAAACAAGCCTGCTGGGACGATGATCTCGTTCCAGGGATTGTACATGTGGGCCACTACGTCATAGGTGTTATAGCGCCATTTAGTCTTGTCTTGCCCTCTTACCAACTGGTTTGTCCAGTCATTTTTCTCAAAAGCGTTCATGCTCAGGATGTTGGAGAAGTAGTTTGTTGCATTGATTTTCAACTGAAAAATAACGAGTTTGTTTTAACGTACGTACTAAAACATCAGAACGCACGATCAGTTTGTAAATATGTCACTTTTGAAAAGAAGAAAAAAAGATATGCTACTCACAGAATCATACTTCCTGTCCAGGTAGTCGTGACTGACAGCAGCCGTGTCATAGGCAATTTTGTCTACCACTGATTGCATCTGTAAAACAAAAGACAAATTCATGGCGCAAATAAATTATTTCCCTCTCAGTTTATGTATAAATGTCTTTGTTTATGTATATTCATGAACAAATACGCTCTTTCTTACTTTGAAAAATCAGATCCTTCAATTCCCTAACAAATTTCAAGCGCTGCTGCCTGCATCATAAAAAAAAAATTATACGTGATACTTCTTTCATTTACAGAGATAACTTCCACATAGTGGTTTTGTCCACTTTCCCAAATAGATTATTAAAGACGGGGAGGAATAACCCTGTCCACATGGAAATAATAAAATGTACCTTCGAACTTGCATATTTCTTAGTCGATGCATCCATCCATGTCGCCTGCTGAATGCGAGTCGCAATGGTTTGCTTCAGTCGAGAGACTATTGCGTCAACCTGGGGATGTAGATTATGTGCGGAAAAGTATTTATTATTTCAGTAGAACTGTTCTGTAAAAATAAACACTTTTCTCCTTTGTTAAAATCGTGCCGTTGGAAATTTAGAAAGTAAATTCCTTGAAATTAAGTTTTGGAGGTGTTTGGGAAGAATTACATTAAAATAATTCAACAGGTATATTTTGAAAATTTACACATCAAAAGTGATAAATATGCGAAAAATAAGCGAAAGATGTTATTCAGTTTTATCCCCTTAACAGTGCTCGTGCCAAAAATGATACATTGCGATTTGATTACTAACAGACAGAATCTGCTAGAAAATATCAACTAACGCAGCAAGTTTGTTTGGCAGTATATTAAGAGGACATTATGCGCGGCATCGAAGGTGGCATGAGCAACACTACACATGGTATAAAAAGGTGGTCAAAATATATACAGACAAACAGAGATCACTTACAACAACTGAAAAGTTAAAGCATAATCATCAAAACAACCATACCTCGCTTTTGGCATTATCAGCAAAATGGTCTTGAACGAACAGTGCCCCGAGAGCATCCGGCATCTTACTCTTCATGTAGTTAAAACAGAAGCGATATGTCCCCAAGAACTGAGCCCTGCCTGTCCTAGCTACGTAGAACTCTCTATTGGCATGGACGTATTCCCAAGACAAGTCCTGGGCATATGCCTGCATCAGGCGCCACATCAGGTAATTATTCAGCACTCTGAAATAATATTCAGATTTGGAATTATAGTTAAAATTATTTGTTTTTCAGAAGAAATGCAAATTGGGTAATTAAAATTCATAAGACCAGTATGTGGAGCATTGAGGATAAACTTGAGAGATTTGAAGGATTTTTTATTTCAAATATAGCTTCAGCTCTGCTTTGGCTTTTCGGATAGGTGTTCAAAATTAGCATTTTCACGAGAAGTTATAATGGCATAACACCTTATTTTCTTGTTTCTACCCAAAGTTTTCTTAAAAACATGCATACATGTATTTATAAGAACATTTATGGATTAAATAACTCGATATAGAGGTTGAGTGCGATGACACTACTTGCACTTGCTTTCTGTTTGGCTATTTCTTTTTTTCGAGACAACATCCACGTATACTCAGCTATAGTCTATGACGCAAATGAACATTCGACACACGTCATACAGATCTAGGAATTAGTCTAATACATTCCTTGTGATGAATTGTCACCATGTGCGACGCCATTATTTTGATAACAGACGGCTATTCTCCTAAGGGTTGTACCTGATTACTTTGCTCATTATTTCAATCATTATCTTTTGATATTGAGAATCCTATCTTGCGATGCGAGCTACACGGGGGGAGCGTCTGTTACTGTGCTTATGTGAGGTGCTGTCAGAGGTTAAGAAGTAAGACTTTTTGAAAATTTATAACTGGCAAGCTTATTTTGCACCAAAATTATGTCTTTACTTTGCCCATGTAAAATTTATGTCGTTAAGTACGTAAAAATGATACATGAATGCGTTTCATAAATGATACGGTATTCTTAGGCAATACCCTACCTTGTCTTCGAATTAGGGTCCCAGTTTTTAATCATATTGCTCATCTTCTGGAGGTAGTCAGCCTCTAAGAGCACGACATACGTGTCTCCGTTCACATTATTACTACCAAACATGTACTGGAAGAAACTGACCCAGTTCACCTGTAAGTATGACAAAAGATAAATTATAAATTGTAAAAGAAACAGGTGAAGCAGCATCACATTTTCTAGGGCTCGCTCTCCCCCCCCCCCTCTCTCTCTCTCTCTCTCCCTCTCTCTCTCGTTTGGTTTGAACCTGTGTTATATCTTTTGCCTTTATTGGTCCCTTGACTCGTTACAATTTCTTCACGACAGAAAGTCTTACCTGGTCAGCTACTGTATTGAGTTCTGAGATTTTCTTCCTGTTTCCGGGAGCGTGAGGGTCTGGGGAAGGCTGGGTATAGGCTGTTACCTGCAAATTAGAAGAAAGGTGCAGGTAAACAAAAGTGTAGCTATCTATGTGGATGGTAGGCTCAGGATCACGTGCCCCCCCCCCCCCCCCCCCTCATCTCCCTTTGACCTTGCTTCTGTTCATGGACATGCCATTGGAAAATAAACGAAATTTCAAAATATGTCGGAAAAAATCACTCCACGATCTTTTCTTTTTTCATTGTTTTGTAAAACTATCCTTTACTTCAAGGATGTCTTGGTTGTTCAATATTACAAATACCACTTAATTGGCTTATACCTTGCCAAAGGGGCCTGGCAACGGGGTTGGATCTTACGATACATTCTTTATAATATAACTACAACCATATTATCACTATTTTCAAATGATCAAATTTGGTTAATTTTCTATGATAATGCAAAGCCCGTACTTACATTGGCTAACTGGTACTCAAATTGATAAGCGTCGTTAACAAACTGTTCGATGTTGATCTTCACTGTGTTGTCTGTGGGGTTCATAGCATTATCTCTCACCATGTAGCCGGCAACTGTTCTCATGAAACCCTTATATGCATCTTGTACCTAAGTAACGAGGGGATGGATTTTAGAAACATCTCTCTCTCTCTCTCTCTCTCTCTGTGTGTGTGTGTGTGTGTGTGTGTTTATTTTCTTTCTCTCTTTGTATGTGTAAAAATATAGCAAATGTAAATGTGTTTCCTTGATTGAATGCTTATCGTTAATAAGTACGTTGAAGTGATAACTCTCGCCACCCTATGTAGATATGTCAACAAATTATCTGTCCTCAAACATCGACGACCATCCTTATCCACATTTATTATGAACATGCAAATCCTAAATTCCCTTTTTTCATTCAATTCAGTTTTAAACCCGTACTAATAGGACATCGCATATAACTCAATTAATATACACAATCCTCTGTCGTTTCTTGTTTTCTGTAATGCGTTTATGTTTGTATTGCATGTATATACTGTATTTTACAAGTAACTGATTGAAGACATGGTTTGTCTAAACTACAGTGCTGATAACACACAAGGACTGCTTAATTTTGACGCATAAACGTAACCAAAATCTAAGATACTACTAGCTTTCACATTTAATACACACACACACGCACGCTCACGCAAGCATACGCACAAATACACACGCACACACACGAGCGCGTACGCACACATTTATATCCTCCCATTTTCAATGACCTCTGCTGGAAGAACTCTCACCTTAGCTGCATATGAAGATGTAGAAATGTAGTATCCCCAGTACATGCCAAGACCACTATAGTCAATCTAAAAAAAAGGATGATACTATATATACAAATTGCAGTTATCTAGATATATTTCAAAACCTTATTATACACGAACACATTGAATGCTGTGTGACACTTAAGCTGATAACGATTCCAGGAGGGGTTTGCAAGGGGGGGGGGGCGAAAAATATGCTGCCCCTCGTTCCACGTTCCACTTCTGAAATTCATATATATAGCATTTAGCTTTGGCACCACTTACAGCCTATCCCAACAGACCCAACTGATTTTCATTAAATCATCACAAGAAATGCATATTTTTACAGAACATTTAGAACCAAAAATGTTTTTAGTGTGGATTTAAATATACTTTATGTAATACTATTATTTGTAGCCATCGTTTGGTTGAATTTCATAGAATAATAATATTAAGATATTGTATTTTTACCGTATTATAGGACTACGGTCAGCAAATTTATGAGTTATTGAGTACAGGGTTTGAAATTGTGGGCGGCGGTTCTAACCGCAATGGGGGAAGAAAGACTTTTAAAATGATATCTTTGAATACAGAAAAACTGATAACTCCTTAATGCAATATCAGCAGTGCTTTGATGGAGCATATGTACGCCCATTTTCCAAATAATAAATAAATAAATAAATAATAATAATAATAATAATAATAATGAATAATCATACAAACAGATATGCTGTTAAGCTGTCTTCCCTGCACAGACTTTGGTATAGGCACATCCCACCCCACCCCACCCCACCCCACCCCGCCCCCCTTCTTGCATTCTTTAAGACTTTTTCAGACTTTAAGCGACTTATGCACACTTCGGAGACTTTGGAAAGGCTTCCCGCATCAACATGCCCAATAGTTATATGTAAGCGTGATGGAGGATATATGACCGACCTCAACCACTCTCTTGCTGGTGTCCAACTCATCGGGGGCGACGGTGTACGAAAAGAGGGCGTTGATCCAAAAGTCCACGTGAACCTTCTGCAGCGCATTTTGGAAGTCCCAATTTGATATCCCCATCGTGTTAAACACATACCACGGGCCTATCTGGTTTACCAAATCTATCATTGGCTTTCCGCCCGCTTTTTGATTTTCGTATCCGTTCATGCAAGAAGAAAAAAGTTCCTTAGCTTTTCTTTCATATGACCAATCCACATTTCGCTGAAGAGGTGCGCCTAATACCCTTCGCAGTTTGCCTTCGTTAAAAGTGGCGGCGTCGCGTAGTACCGTCCTTTCATTATTACCGCTCGTAATTTGTGCAAAGTTAGGAAAATTGCCACATGCAAAGGTATGGAAGTCATCACAGGGATTAACAGAGGCATTCATAAAATTAATCATCCTTGACGCCTCCCGCATACATCCTTTAGTCAAGCATAAATCTGGAGCAGGAGGCGGATTGCCGACACCAGCGGCAAATAATGCTATAACTACAATGGCAATTAGAAAGAACACCACTGCCACGACACCGAGAATTGTCTCCCTGGTCGACAATTTGTTGTCTCCAAAAGTCATGCCGAAGTTACTGCTAGGAATCACTTTTTCTACGTCGTTGACGCTGTTTACAATATCCACTTTATCTGAATTAGCCATCTTCGCTTTGAGAATTTTTTTCCCAAAACGAAATTATGGAAAAGCATTAACACCCGCACTCCACCACGATGAAGCGTCCTCCTGCTGATGATGATGGTTGTTCAAGTATATTGGGGGCGTTTTTCCACCTTTGATTAGAGCAAAGGTTGGACGAACAAAGCGTAGGACAAGGGTGACTCTTATCTCTTTTGTAAACTCATTAAATCTACTTGCGCCTGGACTATCTATATTTTGTCCTCAAAATTATTTACCACTGAGACACAGATAGTAACTTATCTTTATTTATATGTCAAATTTTTATTTTATTTATATAAATGCTGTAATGTTTTATTTTGTTTTCAATAAACGCTTTCGTAAATCATAATATTTTAAGCGGAGGCATGACTGATAATCGTCCATCCCCCCCCCCCAACACCCTCTAACCCCAACTGCGACCTTGTCTTTCAAACAGTTTGTGCACTCATATCTGATACTGATAGATTTGTCCAATACATTTAGCCCATAGACATGACAAAGAAATCTTAAGTTTTTAAATGCAAGTATCATTTTTATTGAACATACTTCACTAAGGAAAAACGCCCTATTAGAAATATGACGAAAACCAAGTAAAATTCCATCGCGTCTAAGGGCGCGTTCCCCATGAAACTATCGTTTTACATGTAGATCGATCCAACTCCACTCAGATTAATTGATGTCACGCCTCCTCGAGCAGCTAGGGGGTGATCAACTTTCAGGTGCACTGCGTTTTGAGTGCGACCGAACGCATTACAGACAGTTAAATAGTACTATTTAAAGGAGACGCAACATTAAAGTAAGAATATCATCAGTTAAAGTTATGTTCTGATATTAAAAGTGCAGCAGGGACTGGGCACCATAAGGCACGGTACTCCGCCTTATCTTATCATACCGTACCAGGGCGTTCTTCACCTCTTATATCTACCATATACACATTAACATTTCTAACATCTCGAACAGGAAACTTAGTGAAACAAATACTGATGCTGCTCAATGCACATATCCCAGTGGCAAATCTTAAATGTTCAGAAATTGCAATAGGTCCATTGCTATAAGAAGAAAACTTAATAATAACCCCCGCCCTCTTGCAGCGTTCTACACTGATATGGTATTAAAAAAACAAGTTTTCATTTCATTAGCTATTTAACAGGCACACTTAACTTGTGAAACTGGTGTGAGAGAGGATGTAGTTTTTTTTCAGCATGACAATGTAATGCTACAAGCAAAAAATTTAATAATGATTCGTGCGACCAAAAGAAACACCCCTCCCCCCCCCCCACACACACACACACACACACACACTAAAAAGGGGGTTCAGTGCTCTCAGTTTTGGCGGGAAGAAAAAATAACCCTCAAATACAAGTCAGTTTTTATCCCTTCTCCTTGTGAAATATACAAAAAAATTAAATACTTAATCCAGCACATCTCAACCATAAATACACCGATTTTCTCAAGGTGCTGTTCTCAGCACCTTTATCAGAAGGGGCGGATACGACCCGTAGTCGTCGCAAACCATACCATGCANCCCCCCCCCCCACCACACACACACACACACACACACTAAAAAGGGGGTTCAGTGCTCTCAGTTTTGGCGGGAAGAAAAAATAACCCTCAAATACAAGTCAGTTTTTATCCCTTCTCCTTGTGAAATATACAAAAAAATTAAATACTTAATCCAGCACATCTCAACCATAAATACACCGATTTTCTCAAGGTGCTGTTCTCAGCACCTTTATCAGAAGGGGCGGATACGACCCGTAGTCGTCGCAAACCATACCATGCATACTAAAGATGGTCATCGTGAAGGGGGCGTATACTGTGCACATGTACCGGGTAGTAGTAGACCTTGTGATAATTTTGCTGTTATTCCCGCTACAGCTTATCAGTTATTGATTTATAGAATGTAACATGTTTGCAATCATTGTAATAGATCAATAAGAAGTGCCTTCTAGTTGATAATTAACTTGGTGTCTTCTGTCGGTTATAAACCATTGATAATACCAGCCTGGTCTTTCTCGCGTAATCTATATGATCTCCTTGTGTTGAATTGATTTTACTACCTGCGTGATAAAATGAGGGAGTTAACACGGAGAAATATTTCAGTAATTTTTTTCTATGAGATTCAGTAGAAGGATTTAACAGTTATTTCAGGCAAAAATCGTTTGTGTGTGTGTGTGTGTGTGTGTGTGTGTGTGTGTGTGGAGGGGGGGGGGGTAAAAGCATGGGCTTAACAAGTCGCCGAGCGGCAAATACCAACAAGGCTAATATACCATGAGATATAGTATAGCACTCTCATTAACTGCCACTGGTGGGCAGAAGGATATCATTAAGAAAATACCAAATGAACAAATCCACCTCCAAGAGCAACCGCCAAAAGTGTAGGAAAAACCAGTTAGCCTAGGAAAAGAGAGATACTTTAAGTCACACATCCATGGCCGGGGTTCCTAATCAGGTCCTCACTATACCAGACTGATTTTCAATAAGCACCGAATTAAAATCAAAAAGTACAAGTAGAAGTTTGGTTAAGTAAAGAATTTCAACTGTTGTGTTCTGCACTCAAATTAATTGTGGAAGGATCTTCCAACAACAAGTATTAGCAGCCCAATATTTCAATGCCTCACTCATCAGAGAATGCGGCTAAAGGTGATACATATATAATAGCCTCGTATGCTATACAAAACTGCAGTCAGACCGTCGAGGGTTGAAGCTTACAAAACACGCAAATGACCATAATTACCATTATTACAATTTATGTATCATACGGAATTTACGTCGAGCAATTGAAGTATATGTACCTCTGTATGTGCAGTACAGCTTATTGCATCGAGGGTTGAAAGTAATCACTGATCAGGAGGTCAACACTAATGAACATAATTACCATAATCACTATTGTCTTTATGCGGCAGGTTCTATGCAGGGATACATTCTTTCGGTTGTACTATCCATGTATATGCATGTGCACTGTAGAACAGGTCTAGAGGATGGCAGTACCAACCTTGGGAAAGTTTCTGAATTTGATTTAACTTATAAAAAAGAGAGAAAAGAACGTTGATAAAGCAGCAGTGCTTTACTCAAGTGGTACAGTTTTGTAAATTCATTAAAACAATAATTTGGCACATGTTAAAGTGATTACAGCCGTTCATCTTCTCCAAAAAATATATTTCCTGAGGTAAACGACACTTTTCCCCATATTAACAAATTGTTAATGAATCCGTTCCGACATTCATAGTTAGTACCCCCCTTTTTTTTTCCTAAAAGTCTTTTTTTGTAATAATATCTTAAGAGATTATTACAGAGGGTAGGTATCTATCGTCTCTAGACCGGTCGAATTGAGACGAGATTTAATTACTGTGCCCCTGCAGGGACGATGCGTGGGGAGGCGTGAAAGAGGCGGAGAGACCATTACAGGATTAAGCGGTCTTCCTATCATGTAGGTCCGCCATATTTAGGCCGTGGACCAGCTAGCACTCGGCTCTTCTCATTCTGAATGGTCCCATAGAAAAAGGCTTCGCTGAGTATCAGTAAGTAGTGTTTTGGAAGTTGCATCTTAAGTTTGGAGCGTTTTATCTACCAAGTATAAATAGCTATAGATCTAACTCAACATCTCGATGATACTGTGACGTTTGTCGCAAAATAGAGGCCACCAATACAGATAAATTTTTTAAACAACTAACTGACGGACACTTCTCACGAAATGTCCACCCTTTCCTACCGGAAGGGTGTAAGATAATCACGGATTAGAATGCCACACCCGTAAAATAGATCGAAATACGCATGCAATTTGTAACTTTTTCATTTCTCAACTCTCTATATTCATGAAAATATTCTTAAATATTACATCTATTGTGTCTCACCTGGAGTACATTCTTGCTTGAATCATACCAATCCGAACCTATGTAATATGTAAATAAAGCGTTTGTCCAAAAATCCACATGTGTTTTTTCCAATGCGTTTTGAAAGTTCCACGTATTTTGGATATTAGTATCGAAAACGTACCAACCGCCGAGACCGTTCGAGCTCATAACAACATTTTGGATGAACGGTTGTGCGTAGTTTCGTTCTCTAACATACGTGTCAATGCAGGAACTGAACAAGTTTTTAGCTTTCTTTTCCGACGCCCAGTCTACAGTCCTCTTTATTGGTTGTTCTAATATGTCTTGCAGTTTTTTCTGGTTCTGGTCATATATGTTCCACAATATGGTTCTCTGGGAGTAGGAATGAAGCGGATGCCAGAGAGGCCACCGGCTGCAGGCGTAAGAATAGAAATCGTCACACGGTTTCACGGACAAGTTCATGTTGGACAGCATATAGGCAGCTGTATCAAGACATCCTTGCTCCAAGCAAATATCTGGATGACTTGGGATGTGAACCCCCGGGGATGTCTGGGCGGCCGTACCAGGGCTGTTACCATTTCCTCCCCCTTGGTGGGCGTAAACCCCAACCAATGCAGCCAAAGCAATGCTGACCACGAGTACACTTGCCAAAACACCGATTAAAATTATTTCTCTCCTTTTCATTGAATAATAAATAAACTTAATTGGATTTCCTGATGGTTCATCGTCGTTTTTAAACGGTTCACCAACCCCTCCCATTTTTTCTACGTCCGTGACTGATGTGACTGCTTGAAGAGTAAAACCATGTACAATGAAGTTTGCATATTCTAGATGGTGTTTTATACCTACCTTGCCTGCATAATTCATTTATTGGGGGCTGTAAAATCACATGATATCAGATCGTGTAAGGACATAACAGCCACTTAATTGACACGACCTATACAGCTACAACATAATTCTGCATTTAAGACTGTTCATATTCCCTATTTGCTTCAATGTCTACTTTATTAGTTTTCAATGGATTTTGAGATAAAATCTGGGCAAAAGCTTATCAAAATTTGTCTTTAGTTAGAAAGCCGTTTCTACTGTGTGTGTTTGAGCCCCTGAGGAAAGGAGTTTTGGCAGCCTCCTTGCTGCAGAAATAATTGAACAAATTTATATATTAATTTATATGAATCAAAATTATATGAAATGTATAGCTATGTCCCTGAATCTTGTTAATTTGATAAAGAGGATTTTATCTAGGACATTGGCCGACCGACCCCAAATGAGTCAAAACTTTTATGTACTAGTGGGAATATCATTTTGAAGCATTGATTGATGCTTCACTGAACATTAGTGGATAGTTCTTGGAAATTAAAATTTGGTGTGTCTTTATTCAAGCCTTGTAACCAACAATTGCCGTTTTTGAATTGCAGCCGCGGATTAGTGTTAATATTTTCCGAATTCGTGACTAACATCGCGATTTTATGGTCCAATTGCAAATATACTGAGAGCAGGCATCGCATTACTAAATGCAAATAAATTGTGAGGTTTTGCACAGCTTTCATCTGGGTCTCTCGCTGTTTACGTACATTTTTTGTTCTCGACGCAAACTATTTCAGTTTGGCAGCAGATAAGAAGAACTGCACGCGAGTGTATCCGTAGACGCACAGGTATTAATTTCAGTAACGAAAACGATGAAATTCTTGACGTCTATACCAAGGCGCAGTAAAGTGACTGGTGCGTTACTGAAAAGTGTTTGAAAGCGAAAAAGATATTGCTTGATGTGCTCACTCAATGCTTGGACTACAAGTGGTAAATACTGGTAAGACATAAGTAAAAAATTCCTTTCAACGAGTGTTTCCACCAACTTGCAAATATTTGTTCCATGTTGAATGCTTTCACCAACTTACAAATATATATTCTGAATTAAGGCTATTATTAAAAAATCAAAGCACCAAAATGAATTAAACTTATTTCTTTAATCTCCTATTCCTATTGTGTATAAATACCGGAGCAATGCGCTCTCGATAATTTCCAGCACATATGGAACGTGCCGAATAGGCAGGTGAGGAGACTTGTGGTTCGCAGTTAATAACAAGATGCTCGCATTCAGGATTTTTATAGTCGAAACATGAATTCACAGTTTGAGTCATTAATTCGGCGATCGCAATCACTTATCCACAATTGCTATTAGGCTATCGCAATCACAAGTAACAAAAGGCAATTTTGTTTACTATGCCTACTGTACAGAATATAATGACAGAGGAAGTATTCATATCTAGTTCAGACAAACAGTAACTTTTGATGCCAAAAGAAGTGATAAAATAAATTAATTAAAGAGGCAAATAACAAATAAATATGTTGAGATAATTGATCGACGGGCACTTCAAACTAGATTTCCACCTATGTTAACTTGATTTTAGATAATCACGGATTAGAATGCAACACCTGAACCCAAAGATAAAATAAAACGAAATGTTTATGCATTTTCTAACTTACTCATTTCTCCACTCCCTATACTCCTAAAAATGTTCTTAAATATTACATCTATTGTGTCTCACCTGGAGTACATTCTTGCTTGAATCATACCAATCCGAACCTATGTAATACGTAAATAAAGCATCTGTCCAAAAATCTACATGCGTTTTTTCCAGTGCGTTTTGGAAGTTCCACGTATTTTGAATATTAGTGTTGAAAACGTACCAACCACCAATACCGTCCGAGCTCATTACAACATTTTGGATGAATGGTTTTGCGTAGTTTCGTTCCTTAATGTAGGTGTTAATGCAGGAACTGAACAAGTTTTTCGCTTTCTTTTCTGACGCCCAATCTACATTTCTCTTTATTGGTTGTTCTAATATGTCTTGCAGTTTTTTCTGATTCTCGTCATAAATTTTCCAGAATATGGTTCTCTGTGAGTAGGAATGAAGCGGATGCCAGAGAGGCCACCGGCTGCAGGCGTAAGAATAGAAATCGTCACACGGTTTCACGGACAAGTTCATGTTGGACAGCATATAGGCAGCCGTATCAAGACATCCTTGCTCCAAGCAAATATCTGGATGACTTGGGATGTGAACCCCCGGGGATGTCTGGGCGGCCGTACCAGGGCTGTTACCATTTCCTCCCCCTTGGTGGGCGTAAACCCCAACCAATGCAGCCAAAGCAATGCTGACCACGAGTACACTCGCCAAAACACCGATTAAAATTATTTCTCTCCTTTTCATTGAATAATAAATAAACTTAATTGGATTTCCTGGTGGTTCATCGTCGTTTTTAAACGGTTCACCAACTCCTCCCATGTTTTCTACCACTACCACCTTGAATGATGGCACTGTTTGAAGAGTAAAATCATGTAAAATGAAGCTCAGAGTTTCTAGATGGTGTTTTATACCTACCTTGCTTGCATAATTCATTTATTGGATTTCGTAAAATCACATGGTAACAGATCGTGTGAGGACATAACAGTCACTTAATTGGCACGGCCTATTTAGCTAAACACAACCCTGCATTTAAGACTGTTCGTATTCGCTTTTGCTTCAATAGCTGCTGACCAAAATGGTTATAACGATAATAATTAAAGAAAAGTGGATTAGGCCTGTACATCTAACATCAGACATAAGTTTTCATTCTTATACACCAAAAATTGTATGGTCATGATTCACCCCACAAGAATTGCTGATCTATGTGAATCTTGGCCAATATTTATGTAGATCTAGGAAAATGATATTTATGCATTTAGAGATGTAGTTAAGATAAAACATTGTATGAAATCTTTTAAAAACTTTCTCCCATTTCATAGTAATTCAACAAACCAAAGACTGAATGTCTGAAGCAACAGTGGTTGAAAAAGATGGCACAAGGATGGATTTTTGATGTCAAAATTCACATAGAATTTTGAGTGTCTTTTATTAGCAAGAAGAAAGTTGCAATTAAAATTATACTTTTTGCCCGTTTTTCTAACAATTTTTTCATCATGTCAGCAATTTTAATAATAATGTTTTCATTAGAAAAATCAGTATCTCCATATATTCCACGATTACTCACATTTCTTAATTCTTTAAATTCCTGGCAGTTCTTAGAATACGTAGTCGGTGTGAAAAAAAAAAAAAAAAAAAAAAAAAACAGAACGCGGTAAGGTTAAAACCACTGTGATGGCAGCACCTTTTACCTGCAATCAAAACATATGAATTAGTTAGAAGTCCATTATAGACATCAATAAGAACTCGAAATTTCGGTTGATTGATATTTGCCGCTTTTATTTTTGCCTAAATTGAATAAGACTTTGCGACTCCGCCTTAAATAATTGACCAGGTAATTAAAATGGAAAATCTGAATGATTGATAAGAACACTGGACTATGGTGTATATATTTCCATATTGACAATACTTAGTAAAAATATTCACACTGGATTGTTGTTGTTGATGATGATAATATAAAATCAATTAACAATAGTCCAGTTTCCAGGCGAATGGGATGTATACACGCTTCTATCGATACTAGGGAATATAGAAAGGTAAACTGTATACATAAAATAAAAGTGCAATAATAGGGTGAAATACACCTAAGATAAAGTACAAACAGACCGCTCGACAGAATACTTAGAGATTGGAGTGACATAAAATTAAACTCAACGCATTACGCTTTACAGAATACTTAAAGATTGCAGTGACATAAAATTAAACTTAAACATCGAAATGTTCCCAATCAATAATGTTCAGTTGATTAAACATCATGAACATGGCATCAAAAAATATACTATTAATATCTACATTTCTGCCGTTTAAATAACCTAGGACCTCTGATATTTTATAATCCAAAACGTCACCGATGTGCCTGACAGGAAGTAAACATCTCGAATACCGGCTTATAATAAAGGCATTATTAAACCATCCATCAATTGGAAGTCGATAGGCTTCAGATGAAATGTCAGACCTATACTGATTGGGCCAGTTAATTTAATTAATGGAAATACCCCAGGAAACATAACGAATTATAAATACCTATTATCAATAGAAAATGAGTCCTCACTTAACAGTTAACGTTTTTAGACAAAAAGAAAAGAAAAACAAAGATCTACGCTTTTTAAAAGATAGTCTTTCTGTTGGCGAACAGGAAAGAAGTAAGTTTTTAGTAGGTTATCGTCTCCCATTTTGTTTCATCAGCTGGTGAATCCACACGGCAAATGAAGCGTCGTAACACTCAATGAGGGCCCGCCCACGTGGACACAGGCGTCCCTTGGTGGGACGAGCTCTTTTTATGGTGTTCATGATTTCGTACCTCAATGGAACTATGAAAAAAAATAATAATAATAAGCGTTTTAAGACTGCTTGTTTTCTTCGTATTGATTATTATTATTTTTTATAAATTCCGAAAATTGGAACCGAATATCAAATTTACATTGTGAAGGAAACTACATTATCATTTCAGCACAAATAAAACATTGAGTCTCGAAACTAATACAACAAATTTTATTAATTTTACTAGAAATAGAAATTAAAATTTGATCACATACGAAATCGGGAAATTTTCAACTTCTACTAAGATTCCAACCTCCAAATAAAAATACATATCATACAATAACATCAATATGCAAAATGCATAAATCATATTGATCATATGTAAAAGTGGTCAGTGTTAATGTAAAAAAACAAAAAAAAAACGTTACCTTGCATATTATACAGTCCATGAACTTTTCCTTCACTGAAGCCAGATTGTGTTCCTCTGAGTTTGTTCCAAAAAGTAGCGAATCTCTGTCTTTCACTAAGGTCGGGATCGGTCAACATCGAATACTCGACAACAGATTCTGGTTTGAATATCTTTTCTGATGGTGGGTCTTCCCACGACATGGCGGTCGCTTCCCCGTCCATTTGTCCGGCCATTACCAAAGAAAGTGTTACCGTCAGCGTGGCTACTGCATACAGTCGTATTTTAATCATCCTGAGTAAAAAAGATAAGAATATATTAAGAATAAGTAAATAGTTAGAAGTACTATAGAGTGAAATGATTTTTTTGTGAATTTGATGTTTGTTTCAAAATTCCCTTCAAAGTTTATTATGCGTTTGCATGAAAAAAGGGATTGGTCCCTCGTATCATTTATAAGCCGTCGATGTCTCTTAGTAAATATGTAATTTTATTTCCAACGATTTTGTATCAAATACAATGAAACGACATTTCGATAATGCTGATTTAAAATATACATGTCCTTTAAAGTAAATTGTACAATAATGCAGTTAATGTCAAATTATTATTGAGTCTCAATATATTTGTATTAGTTAGAGAGCCTGTAAATGTAAACCATTTCTTTGTGCTCAATAAATTATTAGATATATTTCGCTCGCCATAGGACCATTTTCATTTAAATTGATTTCGGAAGCATTCTGCTTGTCTAAATATTAATTTCTCAGTAAAACTACACTTACTTTTACGATTATGGTTAGTGGAAGTGGTCAGTCTCAGCCGTTCGTCAGACAGTCTTCGTGCTCTCAGTCTGACTCCCCTAGTATCAGTGTCGTAATGTGTATATATATTGAGATATATATGTGATGTCGAGGAGAATAACGATAATTATTATATCCGACGTCACGAACCTCCTGCTTACACCTGGAGTTCAATTATCAGGTGCTCTGAGATTACACTCGTAAAACGACAGTCTAAGGATGACTAAAGTGGTCCATTTATGGCAGTAACAGGAACGATTGATTTAAAGAGTTCAAGAAGGACGTGCGATCTTCCTTGCAATTAAGAGACAGGATGCATCAAACACAAAACAAGAAGTTTTCTATAGCGACACCTGCATCTGAGATGAATTTGCAAAGAGATGTGTTTTGAGCGATCGAAGTTTGTAAAGTGGTATTTGTCGGGTGATCTTAAAATATAACGATATAATTGACAATTATTGTATTCTTTTGCATTTTTATTTTTAGTACGCATGTGGTTTATCGATCTCTTTTTAAAAGTCGTAAGTAAATAACGTCATAAGAGAATGAACTAATGCCACTACGTACTAATTTAGGGTAAAAAAATTCAAACTTCAATATCTCATAAGATAATCACCGTAATCCTATCCTAAAGTACTTCATGGTGAACTTTTGCAACACATCCGCAAAAAAATTTGCACCTTGCAGGCCACGGCGGGACAGGAAATGTTCTGGTTCTCAGGAAAACCTGCGCACAAGTTACAAGCAGGCAAACATACGTTTTCTTATCGGATTGAATTATAGTCTATAGTGTCTATAGTGTCTGTAGTGTGTGGTTGGGCTGGGTGGGCACCCTTGGTGTTACAAGGGGCGTTCGTAATGAGATTTTGGTTTAAAATCAGCTAACCTGGATAATCCATTACAATGTGCTGGGAAACAAGTCTCCTCCCCTGAAATGAACTCTCTGGTCTGCATTTAATGATGGCATTTGCAGGCACAAGGAAGTAAATTTTCTACACTAAAATAACGAATTGTACACAATTCAATTGTAAAACTTGCCACTTACCAAATCAATGCCCAATACATTTTCCATCCGAAAATAATAATAATAATAATAATAATAATAATAATAATAATAATAATAATAATAAGAAGAAGAAGAAGAAGAAGAAGTGAGAAAAGAAATCTGATTTCTTCAAAATTAGGGTCAGTTCTGTTGAGCTGGTTAACCATCTTATCAGTTTTGTTTGGCCTAACGGTAAATGACTTACACGTGTCTATTGAGAAAGATACAGTGGCACACGTTTTAATAAACACATTACTTTGATATGGGAAGATGTGACAGGATTTTAGCCCTTATTTTACTTAAGGCCTAATGCTGCATTACTACTCATAAAGTGATGATATGCTAGCATGCAATATTGAACAGTGTGTCACTACGCGCACTTTGCTGAACGTTTGAAGGTGTTAACAGATACACATAAGAAATACCTTATTTATTGCATCTTTAGAAGTAATAGTAGAATGTACAAGAGTTGAACAGTTGAAAACGAAACCTGCACTTTTGGAAATAAAGATAGGCCTAATTCAACCGATACAAAATAATCTCTTGTTTCTTATATGGTAACGAGCTACCATTGAATCAGCTCCGATTTGGTCCCATCTTGAAAAAAGGTAAGGTTGTTACACGGTGACAAGTTGTTTTCTTGCTTCTGTTGAGGGAACGAAATAAAATGGCAAGCCTCGCAGAACAAATTGCTCAGCTTGCAAACCCTGCTCCTAGTTTCAAAGATCCCGAAGATGACATAGATGACGGTAAGTCCAATTCAACAAATACACAAGGAATGATATAATTTTAAAAATACGTGATATTATGAATTGATGTCTAACCGGTATCACAACCAGGCAAACGGGATCTACAGAATTGTTAAACACGTGGACTGATATGTGAATGGATAAATCCCAATCCTAATCACCCCACTCTAGAATCGTTTTTATGATTTGGGTACACGCAATGGAACACGCTCGACTAGCCCCGTATCTTTTACGGGTAAAATTTTGAAATATATGTAGTTTTCTGTTACTTCGGATGGTCTTGGGCGTTTATACAGATCCTTTTTGTTTTTAAAATGGAATTTTTCAATTAAAAAATAAATGAACTGTCTTTATAAGTTGTAATCAGTGGCTACACACTTGTTACTCTCTTATTCAGGGTTTATGGATTTGTAGTTGTTACATATTGTATTTTTATTTTCTTCAGATACGTCTGCAAAGGTGGTAAATTCATATGTACCATCAGATTTATGTGAAACAAATGAGACCAGTCTTCTTAGGAAGAAGGTGACCCCATTGCTGTCAGATACAGATGTAAGATATGCTGGTAGGAGTGTGTCGAGGAAGAATCTACTAGGCAAGTAATACTATTTATTTCTTGAAAAATGGACATTACTAGTAATTTTTTCAGCTCATCTGTGGGGTTTATTTTTTCTGACTTGCCAGAGATGGGTTGAGAAGCATTTGGTTTGTTATTTTGATAGGCTGAAAGCATTGTTTTCAGTATCTGTATCCATGTCATTTTGATATAATCTCAAAATAAATTTGTTTGCCAATATCTGTGTTTTAAAAATGTAAATCAATTAGGATGTGATTTATTATTGTATTTTTTATTTCCTAAAAATATTATTTTAGGTGCTAGCACAGAATCAGATAATGAAGAAGAATTTTTAAGTGAAGAAGAAGGCAGCTTGGAAAGTAGTGATGAAGACAGAGAAGACAGCGACCTAGAAGACATTGATCTGGAGACTTTCAAAAACAAACTCACAGATAAAACTGCAGGGAAAAGGTATATGTCAGCCATTGAAAAACATTTGTAAATTAAGAATTAGTATATTATTAATATAAGAAAGTAGTTTCTGCTGTACTAGTGTGCTTAAAGAGTTAGCAATTGAACAGATAAAAAGCACATGACTGATAAATTTCTTTTGAAGTGATTTACAAGTTTTTTTGTTACACTTTAACCCAAATTTTAAAAAAGGATGACAAATGATACATATGTAATATGATATACAAATTTATGACTTTTTTGTTTTTTTTTCAACAAAATATTATAATCAGAATTTAATTTATGTCTGATAAATGCTTTTTATCAAAATAAGTATTTGTTACTAATAATGTTCTGATATAATATGTTGTTATGAGAAATAAAAACGTTTCAGGCAGATAAATGGAAATACAGAACACTCAGATGATTATGAAGATGGAAGTGATGCTATGAGTGATGATGATGATGATGACGATGATGTTGAAGGTGAAGAAACTGAGGAGGATGAACTTTTGAAGGATCAGTCTGCAAACCAACAGGAGGATGATATTGAGGAAGAAAAGGGTATTTTATTCATTTGACATTATTGTGAACAGTACAAAGTGTATGGTGGGATTTTGGTGTTCCTGTGAAATGATGCAAAGTTTTTCCATATTCAAGCCTTGTTCTTCCTTTCAAATGGCATTCCTTTAAAAGTCTAAAGGATATTTTTCTTTTATGCACATTTGCAGTAAAGACTATATATAGTGATCTCTTTTATAAGTCCATCTTTTTTGGGTCAATGTTTTTTGCATTTTTTTTTGTCACATAAGAAATTTGAAATCGAGGTCACCTTGTTTAAAACATTTTGGAGTCATATGTCGGGGTAAAATACAAGCCAAAGTTGAAACAAACTATATAGTGAACAAATTATATATATAGAAAATTGCATATCTTTGTTTATGAAATTGAGCAATGTATTTCAAACTTGATTCAGTAATGTCTAGGAAACTGTTATTCTGGTTTGCTTCAGACCTGCTAGGGTCACCAGCAAAATTTAAATGATAACCTCAGTAGGGTTTACCGAAATTCAATTAAAACCTCTCTCTTCATTAAAATGTCCAATTAATTGATTATTCTAGTGTTTAGTCCGAAATCAGTTATTTCCTGACAGTGTTCAGACTTTATATTGGTTTGAATATTTGTCAGTTTCAGCTAGCTTGTTTTCCATTCCATGCTAATGCAATTGTTTTGTAGGGGATGTTCAGAGTTTATTCAAGTCTGATGTAGCAGAGGAAAAGGAAAAGGGCTTGGCAACAAGAGCTCAACTAAGTAAGTCAAAGGTTCTGTTCAGTTTTCAAAGATTCATTTAAATGGTTCTTATTTGAGCCTAAAAAGCTGCTAGATGGAATAGTTCAAATGATAAAAGTTAATGATAGGATTGTTTGATTCTTTTGTTAAGGAATTGCATTATATAATTTTTTTAATATTTGAAACATCTGAGATTTGAAAATGAATTCATTACCCTGTAGCAATGTGGGACAGCTTACTAGAAGGCAGGATCAAACTTCAGAAAGCACTGATATTAGCCAATCAGCTTCCTCAACCTAATACTTGGCCAGCTTTTAGCAAAGAGGAAAATTATTTGGAAGCCACAACAGAAGGTTGGTTTATATATTGCATTCATGTATTCATGTCGTAAACTGTAGTGTGGTAAGTTGTGCTGTAAAGTGTCTTGCTGTACTGCATCTTATCAATTCACATACCAAACCACACCTTGCCATACCGCACCATACCATACCAACTCGTACTACACCATACAAATGCAAACTTTGAAACCCATACCATCTCATATCATATCATACTCATATATACCGTATCACACTGTTCCAAACTACGCATTTTCATATCACATCACCATACTACACTGTACCATACTACACCATAGCAGATCACATCATACCATACCATATAATACCACAACATGCCATACCAAACTTAGGTAATCCTAGAATTATATGCAGTTCATTTTTACTGCAGATATGAAGAAAAGCAGATATATGTGTCTCTTCCTTAAAAGGGTGTCAAAAAACTCACTTCAGCAAATAATATGATGAAATCAAAGCTAAGATTAATGTTGATTTCACTTTGAATTTGTTAATATAATATTGGGGAATTGTTTTATATGCCACAATGTATGATATTCTTATTAAAACAATCTGCCTCATTTTCCAGTGGAATCAGTATTATCTCAGTTGGAAAATGCTCTTGCTGAACTGCAAACATTGCTATTACAACAAAATCCAGAAGTCAAGCACCTGGTTGACAATGGCCAACAGAAACTACCAAACAGGTAATAATCTTGACTGTTTTCTAGTATTTTTAAATATGACAGGAGAGTTTCCTTGGAGGATGTATTTATCTTTCACACAACAAAAGGTCATCATAGAAAAACATTTTGGAGTATTTTATTTGATATTTGCTCATCTAATAGCACAAACAAAAAAGTTTTGAACTTAAAATCAATTTTTACTTCGGATTTTAGGGGCAGAATTATTAATTTTTTCATTAAGCAAAAATTGACCTTTTCAGTGCACAGGATTCTGAAGATGAAGAAATTACTAGTGAGTCTGAATTTGAAGATGATGAAAAAAATGCTAAAAAGACATCAAAATCTCCAGATCTGTCACATAAAAGGAAAATTACAGTCGATGAATTTCCAGAATTCCTAGCTAAAAGACACAAAGCTTTTCATTTGTACAGGTAGGTATTTGTCTTGCCATTCACAGATCTGCCACATGGTAAAAAGCATATCTTTTTCAGTGTCAACGATAAAATTCTGTTAATTTATAAGTCATATTTTTCTTACTTTTATTTTTTTAGTTTGACACATGTAAAAGTGAAGGAAAATGTCACATAAAAAAAAGTATTTTTTGTAACCAAAATAGTTTTCACTGAATCTAAAGTAATGATCTGAAGTTATAATTTTTCTGGTAGTTATAAAAAAAGTGCCTCGTGACATGAGGACAATATTCCTGGAATTTTAGTGTATTTCATCAAGTAAAATTTATTTTGTGAAAATACACATGAAATTTGAATTGGGCCATGAAAAAAAAAGTTGTTAGAGTGCCATTTCAAAAAGTACTTTTATTTTCATCAGTAAGGTGAGTTTCAGCAGTGTTTTTTTATTGTAATTTCAATTGTGCATGAGCTTAAAAATAATGTGTTCTTTGTCCAGAAAGGCGAGCATTTATACCGATCCCTTAAAAAATCTTTAATTTAGGAATAATACAATACAGAAGTGGAATGACAAAACCAAATTAGCAGCTGGGAAAGTGAGCAGTAAATCTTTCAGTGCATTTGACCAATCTACACTGAAGCAAATTGAACAGGTAAACATAGATGCTGTTGAATGATGTATTGTTTTCTTGGATGCAACTTTTTCCTCTCAAAAAGATATGTGTATTACTCTGGTACTGGAACTGACATTATCAGCTGACCAATGTTACAGTCTCAACCTGAGACCTTTCAATAGGTACCAATAATGACCTGGATGGACTGGTTGTTAATGTAAATTCCTGTAAAACCCCTAGTTGTACATATTTTATTTTGATTAAACTGGATGACTAAAACTCATAAATAGATAAACAAGTGAATGAAAAATTGGAAGAGAAGAAAAGTCATTGCTCTTTGCATTATATACTAAATTTCTCTTTTCTAGGTTCTTTCTGATAGAGAGCGTCTATTAAGGAGGACCCAGTTAAAAAGATCATCTTATCGTGTTCTTGGAAAAGAAAAAGAAGATGAAGATAGAACTGAGGTATGGGAAAGTCTAATAAAGTGGAACTGTAATATGGGACAAAAGGTGGAATTGAAGATATCTTGTTTTTGATTTGAAAAATCTTGAATAAGCTTAAACCATTTTCCTGCTTGTTTTGCTATTTGAATTTTTAAAAATTTCGATGAAAAACTAGATGGAATGAATGAATCTTAACTTTTTAATTTACCATGGTTATTTAATAGGCACATGAACAGTTACCAAACAGGGACCACTTGAAAGATTATGATGAAGAAATATTTGACGATGATGACTTTTACCATCAGCTGCTTAGAGAACTTATAGAAAGAAAAACAAGTGATTTAACAGATCCAGTGGCCATCACGAGGTGAAAAGGGATATACAAGTTTAAGAAATATCAATATATTTTATAGTTCTTCTAAAAGATTAACTGGATTGTAAATCACAGTTTTTATGTGAAATGAATTGTGACATTTATGTTATTTGTGGTCTTTATTGTTCCTCACTAAAAATGAACAATGTAATGATTATTATAAAAATAATGTATTTAGTATGATTTTCCATTGACCATATATTTGTGCTCTTTTTCCTTTAGATGAGAATAAGAAAGAAAAAAGGTACAGATATTTTCATTGCTATATTAACTTGTTTTTTTTTTTATTTAGGCAGTGGTTAGAAATACAGAAACTGAGAAGTAAATCAAAAAAGAAAGTTGATACAAAAGCAAGTAAAGGACGAAAAATAAGGTGAGTTTGTGAATACAATTAATTCATAAGATAGTGAATCCAACCAGTATCATTACTTCCAGTTGTTTTTTTCCTTTGACAAGCTGCTAGATGTATTTTTTCTGAAAAAGGGTATTGAATTAATCTTAGTGAGAAAAATTTATAACAGATAAAATTTAGAACAGATAAATGTCACTGTAATTCGAGAAATGCCTTTTTGATAGAAGTGAATTTTTAAAGAAAATTGTTATAACTCTAGGTACAACATTCTAAACAAGCTGGTAAATTTTATGGCTCCACAAGATACCACAACTTGGACAGATGAATCTAAGTGAGTATTAATGGTGCTTAAAGTATAGCTCTAAGACCAGTCAATTTTCAAGTTCCCAGTTCCAAGTTGTCTACATACAGGTAAGCAAGTCTTGAAAAGCAGTATTTCTCACCATTTTTTTTTCCTTTTCAGGGATGATCTTTACTCATCGTTATTTGGCAAGAGGTTTCAAGGGGTGGCAGATAACCAGGCTAACAAAAGCTGACCAGATTTGAAAAAGCAGCCATGCTGCATCAAGTCTTAACACCACATTGTACGCATTAGTCACCCAGAGTTCATCAAAAATTTATTTTTCTTCATCTAACCAACCTTTCCTGACACTCACAACTGTAACAATCTGGGAGAATTAAGTCTTTAACCCATTCTCAAATGTGAGGTTTGTCAAGACAGTGAGCAGGTAGCAACTGATAATTCAGGTTGTTGACATCAATTAATGACATTCCGCTATTCAAAAATGATCAACAAGCATAAGTAATACCGTGCCTTTGATAAATTCAACAAGAATTGGTTTATGTACTTGAAAGTAAAAAACGTTTAAAATCTTCTGCTGTCTCAAGACGTTTTCATTTTTTGAAAGTTCATACCACTGCCATTTTATGAACTGTTTAAAATAGTGCTAGGGAAATGGGCTATGCTGTAAAAATGCACAACAGGTGTTTTGAAACTTGCCCAGGTATTTTTTAAAAGAGTCAAACTGTATTATTGCCAAAAGATGGTAATAAATTTGAAAAATACCATATTGAACATGTTTTAAAATTTTATTAAAACTTTCCAGTTGTTTTATTTTTACATATTTACAGATGATAAATTCTGAATAAATCTGACATTTGAAAACAGAACTTATAAAAAGAACTCTTAAAAATCGCATTCATCCAAGCACTTTTGACCATCCCCGATTAATACAAGTAAACATTTTGCTTCAACACATTAAAATAAATCAATGACAACACTCTTAAGTATCTAAGGACATAATGTTGCAATATTTTTCTTAAAGATCATTCAATTGAAAAGTCTGTCCTTTAATCTGAGAAAAGTAACTTGTGTGAACAACATTGTAAGTTCAGATAATGTTGTAGCACCATACAAAAAGTCCAACTTGTTTCCTGTAAATGGCTGGCATTTGAATAGTGGGTCAAACAGCACCAAGTCTTGTCCACTCCCTCTCAATTTTGAAAGGTAAACGCCACTGACAATTTTGCCACTTGGAAACCCATGTAAGTGTGACTTTGAGCCAAAGTTGGTCAGAAATCAACTTTCATTCAACAAAATCTATCCATGTTATCACATATTCACTTCTGCCAATGGACTAAGAACACCAGAACGCCTCCTTTCCTTAGTGATGCCAGAAAGTCTCCTGTTCACGGGTTTAAGCATGTGTGGGCCAAAGTCTGCAGTCTTTGGAGTTGTTGGAGATGATGGGCTGAAGGTACCACTGTCATTCATGTTCTCTTTATCCTGGTCAGGACTGTACACATGTCTGTGGGCAAACTTCTTCTTCAGAGCCTGGGCTATGAATGAAGTGGCACCGTCTTGTTTTTTAGGTCTGATTGGAGTTCCACCTGGAGACCTGAAATGTTGGAGTGAGTAATTAGTGACACATTTCTCAAAGGCAACAGTATGTTGTACTTATAATGAGCATATAACTTGAGGGCATGAACTAAAAGATGACTTCATACACTTGTTTCAGGGGCAAACTTTTATGTTGTCAAGTTTTTGAATAGTTGTGCATATAAGGAAACGTAATAACTTAACTTCATGTTGAATTGCACACTAAATAAATCGCTGCAGCAACATGAAGAGCCAAAATAGAGATGGTGGCCTAAATTTACAAGACGTGACTGTACAACTCAAACACTAAAATGTTCATCAAAATGGAACAGTACTGCACTTACCTTTCCAAAGTTACAGATTTCAACTTGACTTTTCCTAAACCTTTTAATATCTGAGACATGTCTGGTCTAGTCTCCTTAGACCCATTGCCTGTATTATTGCCACCTGTACCCTGGGATTTTTTATTCTGAAAATAAATAAATAAATAGATAAATAAATAAATAAATAAACTCTTTACAGAGGACATAAAGTCTATATATGTGAACGAGTCGTGTTCTATATTAAGAACAAGGTTCTGAAAGTTACTGATTATACCACTTCAGCTTTTAGTATTCAAATGTGAACGATCTATAATCTGCCATTGGCTTCAAGGGTACTGTAAGGGTTTGTTATCATCCAGATACCAAAAATGAGGGCCAACTTCGTCCCTGAACAAGCTTTATCACGAAAATTGGCATAGTTTACCACAAGTCTATGGGCTTTTATCCTGTGCTCTCATTTTGGTTTAAAAGGACTAATGAGCCCCTAATTCCAGATTTAAACAAACTCATTATTTTGTCACTGATAAAATATGAACTAAGGCCTTTAATAAAAATTGTTGGAAATGTTTTGGAGTACTAAATGGGTTATGAAATTCGTGTTGAAACAGTGTCTGTGGTTCATCAGTTAAAAGAGAAATGTGAAAAATCAATTTTTTCTATTTTTACCCCAAAATTGCAATTATGATGTCACCCGTAAGATGACGTGTGTAATGTTTATTATTTAGTCACTGACACTGAATATTTATCTGAAATAAATAATATATGTAAGGTAGTAAATAAGGAGTTTTTGGCAAACACTTACAGTTTTCTTAAGGAATATTGGCTAAACTCACAGTGCAGGCCTTTACCTTTGCAATAGTTTCTTTAAGTGACATCATAGGACCACTCATGGGTGGAGGGGGTGGAGGGGGTGGGGGTGGGGGTGGTGGAGGAGGAGGGGGAGGGGGCGGAGCTGCTGGAGGAGGTCCACTGCTGGGTAGAGCACTAGCAGCTGAAAGCAAAGAAAAACGGACAATGTTTAGAATTTTCCAACAAATAAAATCTGCAAATTGACATTTTCATCTCAAGCTGACAACAATGACAATTACAGGGCACCAATTCAGTACAATTACAATGTTTTGATCAATCACTCGGATATATATCCCAACTCTTCCATACCTTTACTTTGTTCCTGCATCAGAACAATTGATTGCATCTGCTTCCTTAGTTGTTCTAGCTGTTCTTCTAGTTCTGAGATCCGTTGCATAGCTGCGGGATCTGGAGTCTGTGAGGTAGAGGAACAGTTTGTTATAGATAGTTCTTTGTTAAGCCATAGAGCCGAATCTTCACAGGTGCTCTGTTGGTGGGGATGTAAATCTTCTTTTAAGCGATGATGAAACAAGCGCTTGGCTGGTTCCTTGTGGAATCTTTTCTGGTGTGTTCTAAAGTTGAATGGATCTTCAAATCTTGAACAAAAAAGAAAGAAGAAAGAAATATAAAAAATTAATAAATGAAACTTTAAAAGAGATTCAACATTCCCAAAACTGATAATTTGATTTTTGTTTGTTGTAGAAAGAAATGTAACACTATGGGAAGTTATCATCTCACCTGTCATCTGCATCTTCATCTAACCACAGGGCCTCCTCTAAACCATGATGGTCATCCTCTATCATGGACACGGGTGTGGAACAACGTGCATAATGATCAGAATGATGCAGTAGATATCTCTGAAGTAACAGGGAAAAGGCTATCAATCACAAATTTTATGATGCAAGGAGCAAAATATAGGTGTACTAATGGATTTATTTAACATGGCAACCTTTATAAAAAGCTCGACGTTCTAATGATGACAATTTACTCACTCATCCTCTATTTGTGTACTAATGGTAGAAAGAATCTTTTAAAAAATTTAGATGTCAGATGGGAGAAACAGTAATTACAACATCTGCATAATATTTCCTTACATTGACTCGGACTCTTTTTGGAGGTTGGAGTGGCAGCTTTGTTCCGATTGTTCTGATTAAACTTCTGCTGTTGGTCATCCATATTGGCAGGGGCTGATAGGCAAGAAATAAAGGTAAACATTTATCATTATGGAATATATGAATGATGCTAGTCAATCATCATTCTTCACATTTTCTCCACAAACCTGGCAGTTCTATTTAAAGGTATTGATCAATATTCATAAAATCTGCTGAAAAACAGTTACTAATCTTACCAAATGTATTAAATCCAGTCCCAAGTACTCGATCAGCATCCTAATGATCTCTACAACATCCATGAAGCTTCTGTCCTCAGGCTCAATGTCATGTAAAACTTTGGTTCATCTTAGGAAAGACGTACTGGTAGATCTAGAAACATAGGAAAAATTGGACATAAAATTTTGGGAATTTTTTTAATGAATTTTTCTAATGAATCAAGTATCAAAATAAGGTGGATTTGAAAGCTGACTTGGCTTTAGGCTTTTTTAATAATTATAATAATGGATAAATGATTGTGAGGCATGATTGTGAAAATTAGCACGATATGTGATTTTGGGGACAGTACATTTTCCGCCTTACAGTTTTCTAAATTCATGAAATATAAAGCTGAAAAACACAATTCTTATCCACGTGAGGGCATATATGTACATAACTGTAAAATAGAAAAATCTTCATTTAATGTAACTATATTACAAGTAGAAATAATACTGAACTTACATGACACCAGGCCAGTTCCAACAGAGACTTTTAAATTTATTTCCCACAATGCCGGTGGCGACCCAATTGTATCAGCCAATGAAAATGAGAAAAAAAGTGGGTCATCGACATTGGCCAATAAGATTACGAATCAGTTAAAGGGCATCAAATACGAAAGACAAAATATTGAGACTGCACTGAGCTACGTTTTCAGGTAACTCTAATTTTGAGCAGTATCAAGTAAGTGATATTGTTTAATAATTGCAGAAACTAACGTGCCAATCGGCCTATTTATTATGATTAAAGTTCGTCTTTTGTTATGATGACGTTAGGATTGAAGCTTAGACTAAAGCCAAGATCAGTCAGTGGGGTTGGGCCAAACTTGTCGGGATATTTTTCAATTTTTCATAAATAAATCATGTGTAAGATCTATTCGTTGATTTGATGTTGTGAGTAAACCTTTCTCTAAACAACTGGAAAACTCTGAATTCTCAAATGTAAATGCTAATTGCAATTATGAATTATGCCCACTGTTTCAGAAAAAAAAGTCTGTAACAGTGGGCATTAGTCATTGGATAAGTACTAGGTGGAATAAATCCAAATGTATCCTTCAGATTCAGTTTTACAGTGTACTACCAAAATGTCTGCAGATGTCAGCACAGTTTTAGCTTGCAAGAAGATAGCAGCTGATCCTCTCACAAGAACGCGTCTACTTCAGGTATAGGTTCTGATCAACATCTTGTTAAAAAGCATTGTAAGTTATTAAATGTATTTTGCCAATTTGTTTCTCAACAGAATAATTTATAAGAATTGGTTGTTGTCAGGTGCCCATGATAAATTATTGCTCATGAACAGCTAATATAACTAAAAACAAGTGCTTTAATATATGTGCAGATAATTGTATAATTGTAAGATTAAATGCTCTCATGTTATTTAATGCAATTCTTTTCAAATTTCAAGGATAGTGCGTCTGTAGGGTTTCTGGTATTGGTGTTGTCAAACAATGACCCCAGTTTCAGGAAAGCTGCTCTAGAGGTAAGTAATATACTAGTACAGTCTGTCAGGTTCCCAATCCTGTACATGCTTAAATAGACAACTTAACTAATGTGATAGCAATGAAGACTCGTATTCGGAAGAGATAAAATGTCAATAACTTGTTGTGATATGGATTGGTATGAATTATTTGCTTAATCTTGTTGCTTATTTGTATATAGCACTTGATATATTTTACTTTCGTTTAGACTCTCATACTGCTCTCTGACACAGCAAAACACAGAGCATATCTGAGTCGTTTCTTGGGCATGGAGGATCAAGTTGTTATGCTATTGGAGAGGTAAGATAAAGTATATATACACGCTCGCATGCACGCATGTGCGTGCGCACACACATAGGCTCTATTCCCATAGATTTTAGATCGATCTATCCCCGCGGGGAGTCTCACTAGATTACTTTCAGATAATCCGACTTAAATGTCCGTCCCGCCTACTACAAGCTGTAAGGGGGTAATTAACTTTCGTGTCCGCCTGGCTGACGGCTATTTAGCGTGAACCCCAAGGGAGTTAGGTCGATCTAATCTATGGAAATGGGGTGATACACAGACAGACAGACAGACAGACAGACAGACAGACAGACAGACAGACAGACAGACACACACACACACACACACACACACACACACACACACACACACACACACACACACACACACACACACACACACACACACACACACACACACACACACACACACACACACACACACACACACACACACACACACACACACACACACACACTNCATTTTGCTTCAACACATTAAAATAAATCAATGACAACACTCTTAAGTATCTAAGGACATAATGTTGCAATATTTTTCTTAAAGATCATTCAATTGAAAAGTCTGTCCTTTAATCTGAGAAAAGTAACTTGTGTGAACAACATTGTAAGTTCAGATAATGTTGTAGCACCATACAAAAAGTCCAACTTGTTTCCTGTAAATGGCTGGCATTTGAATAGTGGGTCAAACAGCACCAAGTCTTGTCCACTCCCTCTCAATTTTGAAAGGTAAACGCCACTGACAATTTTGCCACTTGGAAACCCATGTAAGTGTGACTTTGAGCCAAAGTTGGTCAGTAATCAACTTTCATTCAACAACAAAATCTATCCATGTTATCACATATTCACTTCTGCCAATGGACTAAGAACACCAGAATGCCTCCTTTCCTTAGTGATGCCAGAAAGTCTCCTGTTCACGGGTTTAAGCATGTGTGGACCAAAGTCTGCAGTCTTTGGAGTTGTGGGAGATGATGGGCTGAAGGTACCACTGTCGTTCATGTTCTCTTTGTCCTGGTCAGGGCTGTACACATGTCTGTGAGCAAACTTCTTCTTCAGAGCCTGGGCTATGAATGAAGTGGCACTGTCTTGTTTTTTAGGTCTGATTGGGGTTCCACCTGGAGACCTGAAATGTTGAAGTGAGTATTAGTGATACATTTTTCAAAGGTAACAGTATGTTGTACTTATAATGAGCATGTAGCTTGTGGGCATGAACTAAAAGGGTATCATACACTTGTTTCAGGGGCAAACTTTTATATTTTTGAACAGTTGTGTAATTGCACACCAAATAAATGGCTGTAGCAACATGAAGAGCCCCAGTGATAAATTTACATGACGCGACTGTACAACTCTAACACTAAAATTTTCATCAAAATGGAACAGAACTGCACTTACCTTTCCAAAGTTACAGATTTCAACTTGACTTTTCCTAAACCTTTTAATATCTGAGACATGTCTGGTCTAGTCTCCTTAGGCCCATTGCCTGTATTATTGCCACCTGTACCCTGGGATTTTTTATTCTGAAAATAAATAAATAAATAAATAAATAAACTCATTACAGAGGACATAAAGTCTATATATGTGTGAAGGAGTCTTGTTCTATATTAAGAACAAGGTTCTGAAAGTTACTGATTATACCACTTCAGCTTTTAGTTTTCAAATGTGAACAATCTACAATCTGCCATTGGCTTCAAGGGTACTGTAAAGGTTTTTTTATCATCCAGACATCAAAAATGAGTTTTTTCTGCACGTAATTATTCAATAAGTCATCTATGGGGGGCTAACTCCGTCCCTGAACAAACTTTATCACGAAAATTGGCACAGTTTACCACAAGTCTATGGGCTTTTATCCTGTGCTCTCATTTTGGTTTAAAAGGACTAATGAGCCCCTAATTCCAGATTTAAACAAACTCATTATTTTGTCACTGATAAAATATGAACTAAGGCCTTTAATAAAAATTGTTGGAAAAGTTTTGGAGTACTAAATGGGTTGTGAAATTTGCGTTGAAACGGTGTCTGTGCTTCATCAGTTAAAAGAGAAATGTGAAAAATCAATTTTTCTATTTTTACCCCAAAATTGCAATTATGACGTCACTCGTAAGATGACGTGTGTAATGTTTATTATTTAGTCACTGGCACTGAAGATTTATCTGAAATAAATAATATATGTTAGGTAGTAAATAAGGAGTGTTTGGCAAACACTTACAGTATCCTTAAGGAATATTGGCTAAACTCACAGTGCAGACCTTACCTTTGCAATAGTTTCCTTAAGTGACATCATAGGACCACTCATGGGTGGAGGTGGTGGGGGTGGGGGTGGTGGAGGAGGAGGAGGAGGAGGGGGAGGTGGCGGAGCTGCTGGAGGAGGCCCACTGCTGGTTACACCACTTGCAGCTGAAAGCAAAGAAAAACGGACAATGTTTAGAATTTTCCAACAAATAAAATCAGGGCACCAATTCAGTACAATTACAATGTTTTGATCAATCACTCGGAAATAAATCCCAACTCTTCCATACCTTTACTTTGTTCCTGCATCAGAACAATTGATTGCATCTGCTTCCTTAGTTGTTCTAGCTGTTCTTCTAGTTCTGAGATCCGTTGCATAGCTGCGGGATCTGGAGTCTGTGAGGTAGAGGAACAGTTTGTTATAGATAGTTCTTTGTTAAGCCATAGAGCCGAATCTTCACAGGTGCTCTGTTGGTGGGGATGCAAATCTTCTTTTAAGCGATGATGAAACAATCGCTTGGCTGGTTCCTTGTGGAATCTTTTCTGGTGTGATCTAAAGTTGAATGGATCTTCAAATCTTGAATAAAAAAGAAAGAAAGAAATATAAAAAATTAATAAATGAAACTTTAAAAGAGATTCAACATTCCCAAAACTGATATTTTGATTTTTGTTTGTTGTAGAAAGAAATGTAACACCATGGGAAGTTATTATCTCACCTGTCATCTGCATCTTCATCTAACCACAGGGCCTCCTCTAAACCATGATGGTCATCCTCTATCATGGACACGGGTGTGGAACAGCGTGCATAATGATCAGAATGATGCAGTAGATATCTCTGTAGTAACAGGGAAAAGGCTTTCAATCAACAAATTTTATGATGCAAGGAGCGAAATATAGGTGTACTAATGGATTTATTTAACATGGCAACCTTTATAAAAAGCTCAACATTCTAATGATGACAATATACTTACTCATCCTCTATTTGTGTACTAATGGTAGAAAGAATTTTTTTAAAAATTTAGATGTCAGATGGGAGAAACAGTAATTACAACATCTGCATAATATTTCCTTACATTGACTCGGACTCTTTTTGGAGGTTGGAGTGGCAGCTTTGTTCCGATTGTTCTGATTAAACTTCTGCTGTTGGTCATCCATATTGGCAGGGGCTGATAGGCAAGAAATAAAGGTAAACATGTATCATTATGGAATATATGAATGATGCTTGTCAATCATCATTCTTCGCATTTTCTCCACAAACCTGGCAGTTCTATTTAAAGGTATTGATCAATATTCATAAAATCTGCTGAAAAACAGTTACTAATCTTACCAAATGTATTAAATCCAGTCCCAAGTACTCGATCAGCATCCTAATGATCTCTACAACATCCATGAAGCTTCTGTCCTCAGGCTCAATGTCATGTAAAACTTTGGTTCATCTTAGGAAAGACGTACTGGTAGATCTAGAAACATAGGAAAAATTGGACAGAAAATTTTGGGAATTTTTTAAATGAATTTTTCTAATGAATCAAGTATCAAAATAAGGTGGATTTGATAGCTGACTTGGCTTTAGGCTTTTTTAATAATTATAATAATGGATAAATGACTGTGAGGCATGATTGTGAAAATTAGCACGATATGTGATTTTGGGGACAGTACATTTTCCGCCTTACAGTTTTCTAAATTCAAAAAATATAAAGCTGAAAAACAATTCTTATCCACGTGAGGGCATATATGTACATAACTGTAAAATAGAAAAATCTTCATTTAATGTAACTATATTACAAGTAGAAATAATACTGAACTTACATGACACCAGGCCAGTTCCAACAGAGACTTTTAAATTTATTTCCCACAATGCCGGTGGCGACCCAATTGTATCAGCCAATGAAAATGAGAATAAAAAGTGTGTCATCGACATTGGCCAATAAGATTACGAATCAGTTAAAGGGCATCAAATACGAAAGACAAAATATTGAGACTGCAAGTGAATTTAGCTACGTTTTCAGGTAACTCTAATTTTGAGCAGTATCAAGTAAGTGATATTGTTTAACAATTGCAGAAACTAACGTGCCAATCTGCCTATTTATTATGATTAAAGTTCGTCTTTTGTTATGATGACGTTAGGATTGAAGCTTAGACTAAAGCCAAGATCAGTCAGTGAGGTTGGGCCAAACTTGTCGGGATATTTTTCAATTTTTCATAAATAAATCATGTGTAAGATCTATTCGTTGATTTGATGTTGTGAGTAAACCTTTCTCTAAACAACTGGAAAACTCTGAATTCTCAAATGTAAATGCTAATTGCAATTATGAATTATGCCCACTGTTTCAGAAAAAAAAAAGTCTGTAACACTAACAGTGGGCATTAGTCATTGGATAAGTACTAGGTGGAATAAATCCAAATGTATCCTTCAGATTCAGTTTTACAGTGTACTACCAAAATGTCTGCAGATGTCAGCACAGTTTTAGCTTGCAAGAAGATAGCAGCTGATCCTCTCACAAGAACGCGTCTACTTCAGGTATAGGTTCTGATCAACATCTTGTTAAAAAGCATTGTAAGTTATTAAATGTATTTTGCCAATTTGTTTCTCAACAGAATAATTTATAAGAATTGGTTGTTGTCAGGTGCCCATGATAAATTATTGCTCATGAACAGCTAATATAACTAAAAGTGTAACTAAAAAGAAGTGCTTTAATATATGTGCAGTTTTATTGTAAGATTAAATGCTCTCACATTATTTAATGCAATTCTTTTCAAATTTCAAGGATAGTGCGTCTGTAGGGTTTCTGGTATTGGTGTTGTCAAACAATGACCCCAGTTTCAGGAAAGCTGCTCTAGAGGTAAGTAATATACTAGTACAGTCTGTCAGGTTCCCAATCCTATACATGCCTAAATAGACAACTAAACTAATGTGATAGCAATGAAGACTCATATTCGGAAGAGATAAAATGTCAACAACTTGTTGTGATATGGTATGAATTATTTGCTTAATCTTGTTGCTTAATTTTTTAAACACCAAATTGTTTATAGCACTTGATATATCATACTTTCTTTTAGACTCTCATACTGCTCTCTGACACAGCAAAACACAGAGCATATCTGAGTCGTTTCTTGGGCATGGAGGATCAAGTTGTTATGCTATTGGAGAGGTAAGATAAAGTATATATACACGCTCGCATGCACGCATGTGCGTGCGCACACACATAGGCTCTATTCCCATAGATTTTAGATCGATCTATCCCCGCGGGGAGTCTCACTAGATTACTTTCAGATAATCTGACTTAAATGTCCGTCCCGCCTACTACAAGCTGTAAGGGGGTAATTAACTTTCGTGTCCGCCCGGCTGACAGCTATTTAGCGTGAACCCCCAGGGAGTTAGGTCGATCTAAAATAGGTCGATCTAATCTATGGAAATGGGGTGATACACACAGACACAGACACACACACATACACACACACACACACACACACACACACACACACACACAGACTAATGGTTTCAGTTGGCGTGAGATGCTCAGTGGATGGCAGTTTCAGGTAATTTCCAAAAAAAAAAAGAAGAAATTAATGAATAATTATAAGTGCTTTGAATATCTCAGTATTTCATTGAAAACAAAATTTTTTCTCTTACTGCAGTGATAACAATGAGATACAAACTTTGGCCAAACAACTCCACAAGCTGCTGTATGAAGAGAGCCATGCCCTGAAAGACAGTAAAAATACAAGGTGAGCTGAATTGAAAATGTGGTAGTAGAGATTAGTTTAGTGATAATTGTGATATATATATGTGAAGTGTAAGGTTTCCTTTCTGCCTTAGATGTTATTTATGTTATGCAAGTCCTTGGTTCAAATTAATGTAGACCTGTGTAATGATGCCAATAAGGAAGATGATTATTTCAAGATGCATGTGAAGCCATTTGGAGTCGTGAAACATATACAAATTATGACTCGCCTTCTCAAATTATTCAATAAGTTCAAATAGAAGCAGTGCACCAATACCTGTACCAAACATTCTTTTCATGGATAAAAAAAAAAAAATTAAGGGAAAATGTCATTATTAAAACAGCCCAGTTGCGTAAAACGATCTGATAGTGGAAATATTTGAACAATACTATAGCCTTGTAAGCAAAATGATAACAATTTGATCTATCTTACATTATTTTTCATCCGCAACATATTTGATTTTATTCTTAGGTCACAGTCTTGCAGAAAAGAAACAATGAAGAAGAAAGGAGGTTTTTTTATAGCACAGGGCAGAAGTAAGACGGTGGTCCTTCAGATCAAAGGACTTAAAGATAAGGTGGGACGTGTTCTCTGTCATTTTTTTACTAAGTTTTGATACAAAAGGAACAAAGCATACCTAAAAAACACTTTGACATGTTGTATTCATTGAATTGATGATTACTGAAAATACCACTGAAATTTATTCCACTGGTTTTTGAAAAGTTCAATGAAAATATTATTGTTGGACCACAAACCCCAAGAAAATTGCTTTAAAAATGAAGTCACTTCTTTGATATTTGGCGGTGCTGTTTGCCATTCATAACTTTTTTGTTTGTTCACCATTATTTTTTTCAAATTTTTTATGTACAGACGGACATGGAGATCTGCCGCAGCCACTTACTAGAAGTGAAAGGCGTAATTAGTATAACTTTTGATATGGTCAAGAAAAGAGCTATTCTTCGTACAAAGGTGGACATGTCAGAAGAGGTTGGTTAATAATTTCATTCTGACCAATATATATATATATATATTACTCATTTTCATTCAGAGTTGTGTAACTTGTTTAAGGAGGCCACAGTTAAATTACCAGCTGGGTAGCTTGCTGGGATTAACTGGAGCCTTTACTGAGCAAAGGAATGAAATATCTGCTTATGTTCATCTCCAAATTTTTAAAGAAATGTACTTCCGACTCCTGATGATTCTTAAAGCAATTTTTTGAAGACATCCTCATCAGTTGAACTTACAGGGCTATATGATTTTATTTCTCTAGGTCTTAGCAAGGGCAATTGCCAAATCTGACACAATGTCTGCTGAACAGGTTGTCAAAGGACCAGATGGAGAAGAGGTAACGCTAAATTTTGATTTCATGGTGCCATGAAAAGAAAACTGTGAAGAAAATGTCAAAGGAACAGTAACAACGATGAGTTACAAATTACATTTGTTCCATTCAGCTTTTAACATCTATGTATGATATAAAACATTGATCCAGTTCTTTGTTTTGCTTTCTCGAAAGGATGAAATGGTTTTTTTTCCACTTTTTTTGCAGTTCATCTCATTTGGTGCTGGTGCAGCAGCTCCCCCTGACAAAGAAAACCTCGATCTCCCCCAGTATCTTCCTGATGAGGACAGTCCTGCCAAAGACAGCCACAGCTTGGCAAGGTTAGGCCAGGCGAATAAGGCAAAAGGTTGGCTCAGTGCCGCAGCCAGTTACATATCAAACACATTTTACTGGTGAAATTAATTGCAAGGAACAGTGGCAAAATACACCAATTAATAACACTAAAGAACCTTTTAACAAACGTGCTTTGCAAATGAAAGTATATCTGTTAATACCAAATAAGCGGAAGTTTTGGGAGATGAGGATTTACAGCTTTGATGAAGTATATTTATTGCCTTGGGAATGGAGGTTTATGTGGTAAACAAGCGGTCGCTATTGTTTCACAACGAGTGGTTGCTACAGTTTCACGTAGGCATGGTTGCTGCATCCTTTCCTGTGTGACATCGGTGTTATTAAGCTAGATGAATTTTGAACGGAAGGAAGTCTGACATGTGGTTGTGTGTGTGTGNAAGCGGAAGTTTTGGGAGATGAGGATTTACAGCTTTGATGAAGTATATTTATTGCCTTGGGAATGGAGGTTTATGTGGTAAACAAGCGGTCGCTATTGTTTCACAACGAGTGGTTGCTACAGTTTCACGTAGGCATGGTTGCTGCATCCTTTCCTGTGTGACATCGGTGTTATTAAGCTAGATGAATTTTGAACGGAAGGAAGTCTGACATGTGGTTGTGTGTGTGTGGGCACACAAGGCAGGAAAACCTCTTTTAAAATGTCAAATGAAATTTAAAATGAAACGTTGTTTTAATATTGTAATGTTTTCAATAAAATGTCATACTTGTAACTTGATTTTGTTATTCTTTACTCTTTATCATGGTGGTCAACCCAGGTAGCTGTTGTCAATTGTAGCATGTATGAGTAAAACTGAGACTCCCAATCTAATCTACTTGTATTTTGTAAGGTATGCCAGCCAGCAAAAGTGTCTTGGCAGGTCCAAAAGACCAGTGACACTAATATACAGAGTTCTGAGTTTAAACCGCTGCCAAAGTTTTTTTTTTTTTGGATGGGAGGTTCTGTTTGTCTGTTACCAACATAATGGAAAAATTGATAAGATTTTGATAAATTTTCAGAAACCAACAAGGGAAGACAAAATGACAAACATTAATGGTGATCCAACAATTCATAAATTATTTGTCTGTATGTTAGCTACTGACAAGGAGTTGGCAAATAAACAAATGATTAGATTTTGGTGGTGCTCCATTAATTAATAATTAGTTAATTAAAACAAATAAGAATTGCAGTACCTTGTCAGAGGTCTGTACTTTTCTAGTTTACATTGATACTTAACCAGAAATCGTACCCATCTTTGAATACAAGCCGCTTTAGCCATGTGAGAAAATCCAGAAAAAAAAACAAAAACAAGTGTCTTTTTGTTGTCCTGGTAACAAGTGTATGGTTACCACGACATGGCAGCTGGTGATAAACTGCATGTAAAGACTGCCACGTTGAACCGTTCTTTGGTATAGTGGTATTGTCCATCAAAGACTGAATAAATACCAATGAACCACGTCACCAATGGTGCAAAATGATTTTTGAGTAAATTTTACTGATGAGCTTTGAAAAATCACATAGCCAAATAAAACTTATTGTGATCTACAGGTAGTACCACATTTAAATAATTCAACATGGCTGACATTTATTGGCAACTTGATGGACTTCAAAGCCAATTCAAAGCCCTTGAATTGCAATACATCAAATCTATAGCAACACTCATTTTTATGTTAAATATTTATTCTGTTTGGCGTTTTATGAAATTGTGACAGCTTTTCAAGATGGTCCTTACTTTTATGCCACATCTGCAAGTAGAAACTGAAATGAATTCAATCTATTGTAATGGAATAGCACCCCTAGCTACAAGATTTACAGGGTCCTTAAGTTGGTAAGGTTTTCTCCATTTGGTGTTATCCCCTTATATATGTTCTGGTTTTATATAGTAACAACAGAAACTGTAAAATACACCAATTTTCAAATATATTGGTCAATTTTTATTTTTACCAATATAAGTGCTATCATGTAACACTTTTCCCAGTTTTATGAAGCCAAACCTTGCACCTGAAATTGTAATATTTACAGTCATATGTCACATCTTTATTATATACTTTAAAAATTGTCACCAAAATAGTTCTTAGATATACTCTGTACATATTTCATTTGGAATGACATGGGCTTGAAAAGATGGACTTGTATATTATAAGTAAACTTGAGACCCTTCAGTTATATCATAACATATACAATCATATAAGTTTGAGAACATCAAATAACATACATGTACTTCACTGATTTTTACCCAAGACTAAATTTATTTCAATTAGTTAATACTGTATTTACTGTGACAATATTACAACACTAGTGTGCCAGTACATGTTGACTAATAAGATAACTATACCTAGACTATTACATGGAACAGCCCTTCAATTTGTTTTTTGAGCCCATGACTAAATGCAGGATATATTTAATCAGCGTTTTCTTCACAAGTGAATAAAGCCAAAAATGCCCATTACATTCTAATTTTGATTTTTTTTTGTTTGGCTTATTAATAAGAATAATGATGAAAAGTACAGTAATATATAAAATAAGGGTAACCACAAGCCACATGCAGTTGCTCATGGAACTTGTTAAAACATATTTAATGGGGCTATCTGTAAATTCTGCTAATTTTAAATACTCTCTTATTTGCTTGGGTTGTAAAGGGAGATAATTTTGAGGATCAACATGAACCACACTGGAATCATACCAGCTTTTTTGCAATGTTGTAAATTAAACTGGGAGCTTACAAGCTTAAGTTCAAGATAGTTAAAATATTTTGATTGGGAATTGTAATACCTAAATATGGCAATTGCATGCATTTTATCTGTGAAAAATTGATCTATACATATAGTTTTCTTCTGCAAAAGCATGAGGTTACACAATGAAGCAGCCATTTTTTTTTTCAATTTTCCAGGCACATGTTTAACCAGTTCATTAGCTAGTTACAGCCCTTTTTTGGCCTGGAACTTACATAATAATTACAAGTTCATTAAGTCTAATCATAAATTACATGCTAGATGAATGCACCAGTGGTTTTTTATCATCAATCTCCCTTTTTCAGCTTGCTTTTACTACTTGTGTCCACTTCCAGTGCTTCCCAAGCGTCATCATCATTAGCCCACACTTCATTATCCCACCCCATATTAGGGTTAGCATCACTGCTGCCATTAGTGGCTGTGGCATCTCCAAAGTCAATCAAATTAGCAGTTGCAGGTTCTCTTGTCTTTTTACTCTTGGACTCCTTGTTTTTAGCCTTGCCTTTCGTCTTACTTGGAGACGACTTGGGTTTTGTGTCAATGGGTGCCCCCCAGTCTTCCGTTTGCCAGCCATCCTCCCTAGAGGCAGTGTTCTTACTGTCCTCATCATTCCAGGATCCCCAGCCGTCATCTTGACTGGAGGTCAGTCTCTGGTCATCCTGGCTGTGATTGGCACCTCCCTCTCCCCACTCATCCTCCCATCCTGACCAGTCATCCCCAGTTAACAGAGGGGCATTGTTCCCACCACTGGAAAGAGGAAAGTGAACTGTAGGCAATGGTTCAAAAACAACAATTTGTTATAAGTACAGTTTTTGGTGATGAGAATCAGTGACCAACTTTGGAACAAATTTTCATGAAAAAAGCTAGATTTCACTCATCCCGAGAGCATCGCCAGGTTGAATATCCATAGGTCATCTATTGGTTGAGCAGTGACTGATTGTCAATCTATGGAATAATTCTCATCAACAAAAACAGTACTACATACAATATCTTGAAACCAATTTAATAGTAAAATTCTTACTTGGGTTTGTGAATTTATTTAGAAAGTAATCTGCAACTGTTTTGTCAAACCAGTTAAAATTTTTCATGGACTTCATTACATATTGAATTACACTGAACATGCACATGAAACAAAACAAGAAGATGCTGTTAAAAACCCATCATGATAAAATGGTTGTGTAAATGACAAGGAGAAAAGTGAGAGGGATGGCTGTCACATTATCACTGCCATCATATGTACAAGTTACTAAATCTAGTACTATACATCTCCAACTTTAGTCAATGGGAGTATTTGAAAACATACATGGATAATTATGAAAAAGTCAAGAGCATTTTTGGTGAATGGTTGAGTGTAATTGGGTGAAGATCTATCTAAATATCTAAATATTGACAAGTTAAAGTCCACGATTTGTTCAATTTTTCAAGTGAAAGCACATATAATTAAGTAGGAAATTGAACGGAGATAATAACATTTGAAAAAGCATCAGATAACCCTGAAAGGAAATTATCTGCACAGTGTAAATTATCACACAGATATAACACAGCAGAAAACCTGAAATTAGTGACCTGAAAAGGTGTGCTATCCACAAAAATACAAATGAATCATACTTTTAAATTTCTTATATGAACAGATAAAAATCACACTGTTCCATAGCAGAGGGAAGACATTTCATTTCTCTCTGCACCTTCTTTGAATTCTGTAAGAATTTTGTTTCTTAACGGAGCATCTTAAGTGGTCCAAATTCTTGGAGTTTTGATAAAATCAAGGGACTCTCAGCAGGATTGGAGCAGACCTGGGAGTGTGGTGCTGCAATAATAATAATAATAAAAAACTGATAAAACTTGCCCACACATTTTTTCTAGTTGTTTTCTCTAAAATTCTGTTGAACAAGTCTATTGCACAACAGTACAATTTCAACATGTTTTAGGTGTTACTTAAATGATGTTTTGCCCCACCTTTCACGGATTCTTGCACATTTCTACTCTTTTATGATGTCAGGCAGAGCAATAAGCCTCATATAAGCCATCAGATTATTCCTATAAGTTTGTAATTGCCTCTTGCGTCTGTGTATAATGTACAACAGGCTGCAAAGTTAGGTGGTGATGTACTATTATCAAATAATAAGTCTTCTTTGTTCAAGTTGTTCAAGACCAGTTTTCCCCTCTTTGAATAGGCCTGTTTTAGAACAGTACTAAAAGGGTGTTTAACAGAACACTACACGATGGTAACTCTGAAAATGTGAAGAAAAAAAGGACTCATTTACGCCTCCCTGCACATTTTAAATGCATACAAATATGTGCAGGATCAAAATGAGTAAAGAAAGCAAAAAAATGTACAGGAGATGCTTAGCAGAACAATACATGTAAAGGTATAAATCTGATATGTTGGGTAAACAGTGTGCAAAAACAGGAGTGTTTCTTTTGGCTTTGAATACCAGGCCTTCCACTGGAAGCCAGCTACAAATAACAGAATTTAAGGTTGAGTAAACCAAGCATAATTACTGACAATACATTAAGAAAATCTGGTTTTCTCCTATCCAACAAGACCAGGTCATACCATCAGTTTGGGATGAATCATAGATTCCAAGTATTGCAATCCTGGTTTCAATTCAGAAAGAAGAACAAATGCAAAATGGTTAGTACCTCATATTTATCAGAATAT